AAAAAAAAGTCAAAAGTTGCTTTTTGTAACGAGAGCTGCGAAAAGTTGCTCCAAAAGAGCAAAAAACAAAATTTTGTTGCTCTCTTCCTTTAGATCTCATTCTTATTTCATAAGTTGCTCGAAATACAAGAAGTTACCAAAAAGTTGTGAAAAGCCCTATTTACATTGTTCTGTCATCTGTGATAAAAAACCAACAAACAAACAAACAAACAAAAAAAATCAGTTTTTCCTTTTAAAGGAGCTGAGTAAAGGTAGTGTGAGTAATGTTGTTCACATACAAAATTACCTTTAAATTGAAGGAAACACGAAAATCGTAGTTTACTTAGATAGAAAAACACCAAAAAGATAACAATAAGCTCCGGCATAGAGGAACAAGGATGGTTAAGGATGGAAAAGATTAACACGAATTACAAACGACGAACTTGAAAAGTTTAGGCTCACCTTTTCAAGATGCGCAAACCTCAACGTAGCTCCTTTAACACGCTAATACGTCACACCTTGCACGCAACACGCCGCACACCACACGAAAAAAATCACACACCACGCGAAAAGCATTACATGCCACACGCATCAACAACTATGCTGTTGCTTCAAGCTGAACATTTCCGGAGTAAATGAGTCTTAAATTTATGTCACACCCTTTTATGATACAGCGCCTAATCAGGAATAAACTCAAAGGTTGGTCCTGCGTTCGGCCCTACTGTTGGGTCTCCATCTTGTTCCAGTGGTGTGCGGACAAGCCTCTTCAGATGCCTGTCTATTGAAAACATTAATCCCACTGCATCACCGAATTTTTCTGGGTGGCCATTAAACGCTACATCTAGGGATCTGAGGAGGTTTGTGTAAAGCCTGTTGAATTCTCTGTTCAAGACGTCTGCTTGAGAGCCTGGTACGAACTTTCTCAGGCGGGGATTATTGACCATGGGCCACACACCATCCGGATCAAAGAAAATGTCAGATCCATTGAAGAAATACTCCCCCTGACAGACCTAAAAATGAACAATAATTAAGAAAAGGTTTTAACTGAAGATGATTTTACTGAAGAGTAAGATAACAGTCTACATACGAGCCAAGTGGCCCACCAGGCTGGCGCGTATCTCCAGTTTCTGTAGCATGAAGCGACCAGGAGTATTTCTACTCCCCCCTGGATGGGATGCTAGTCCATCGCAAAGCTACCCCCAGCATTAAATTCACCGGTACTCATTAATACACCTGGGTGGAGAGAGGCACTGTGAGAGTTAAGTGTCTTGCCCAAGAACACTACACAATGTTCCCGGCCAGGGCTTGAACCCAGACCGCTCTATCCGGAGACGAGCACACTAACCACGAGGCGACCGTGATGGTTGACGATGGTTGGGAGCCAATTAAGTGACGGTAATTACAAAGCTTTATTATATACAAATTTCCCAATTATCGTTATGTCATCACAAAGGGTTATGAATGATTACTGATTAGTCGTGACGATCACGTGACGGTCCTGTGATTGCCAAGAAGGGTATGAAGGTGATAACCGTCAAGGGTTTTACCAACGCTCTGATTTTGAAAACGAAAGACCATTTCATCAATCTGAATCGTCCAATTCGTAACCAAAGTGCTTAGACCTAATCTTACAGGCCTGGAAGTTTCTTTTTCGTTGGTGAGTCGTAGCGGGGGAGGGGGTGTTTCTTCGTGCCTCACCCTGGTTTATCTCTAAAAGTACCGCCTCAATAACAATCTAAATTACATGGAATGTAAAGCATCCAAACAAAGATGGGCAAGGGAGATGCCGATTTCAAGTGGTTTTGGATTTGTAGATTATAGCGCATTGCATTAGTTTCTGTAACCTATACCGGTGGTGTTGAACTTTTAAAAGTCATTTACAAAGATCTGAATTAAAAAAAATACTAACCTTGAAGAACCGCATGGACTCAGAATTCGAATCACTGCTTATGTTGTAAACCTTTATCTTATGCCTTTCAACAATGGACTTGAACAGGAAGTAATGGGATAGATCACCTTTGTTGTTTGACCAGTCCAGTGGATTACAAGGTGAGCTCCCTTCCCCCTCCGTGATAATCTCTTCGATGGCTCGCTTTGCACTTTCGAAATCGGTTACAGTGAATAATCTTCCATAACGGCCGAAGTGAAAGTCAAATGATAGTTGCTTGGACTTTTCTCCGGAGAATATGGTCTGGTTTGTACCATTGTTAGTCAAAAAGGTCAAAGCATTTAGAATTTGTTCGTAGAATTCCCCTATTGTGTTGTAGTGTTTGTGAAATATTGGCTTTCTCGGCTCTCCAGGGTAGCTGTGGTCCCCCTTCTTCTGGAGAGAACCAAACAAGACAGATTAGTGATTGCATTGTTTTATTTGCTGTTGTTGTTCTCAGACACTGCTGCGTTTTCCAGTTGTTTTTTGTTGCATGCGTTTTTTGTTGCATGCAGTTGTTTTTGTTACATGTTTTTTGTCTTGCAGGAATCATTAAAATTATTAACGCGCACAGTGCTAGCGTTGCTCTCTTGCGTTATGCCTACTTGCGCTATGCTTACTTGCGTTATGCCTAGTAGCGTTATGCATACTTGCGTTATGACTCGCTGCGTAATGCCTACTAGCATTATGCCTCTTTGCGTAATGGCTCCTTGTGTTAGGCCTCTTTGCGTCATGCCTCTCTGCGTTATGTCAGCTTACGCTATGCCTACTTGCGTTACGCCTACTTGTTTTATACCTCTTTGCGTTGTCTGCTTGCGTTATGCCTACTTACGTTACACCCAGTTACTTTATATCTCTTTGCGTTGTGCCTGATTGAGTTATGCCTATTTGGGCTCGGCCTACTCGCTTTTTACCTCTTTGCCTTATGTCTCTTTGCGTTACGCCTACTTGGTTTATACCACTATGCGTTATGCCTGCTTGCGTTATGCCTACCTGCGTTAAGCGTACTTGCTTCATACATCTTTGCGTTATTCCTCTTTGCGTTACGACTATTCGCAGAATCAGCTTGTTGCCATTCAGCTTTGGCATGAAGCATTCATAATTGCGATGATTTTATTTCAATTACTGAGTATTGAAGTTTCTCATAGATATACCACCATACATACCTCTTGCGACGGAATATGTCCACATTTCTTCATGTCCTTCCTAGAAGAATGTTCTGAAAAGACAGATAAGAGAAGGTCTTTCAAATATAACAGTTGTTTCTTATGTTGGTTCTTTTTTTACACAGAATCTAATTAATAAACCATTCTTATTTTTCATTTGCCATCAAGTTTTTTTGTAAGTTTTAAAAGTAAAAACTTTCTCGCAGCTGTTATTTCACTGCAATGCATTCAAGTGACCACAATTTTTTTAACTGACTTATTTCCTCGAGGGTCTCCATATACCAATCAGGCCAGCCTCTTCCCTCAGAGGAATAGCTGAGGGACCAGTTGATGGCCAACTCCATATTCCTAGACCCCACTGAACCTCGCTATGACGTGTTACTGGTATTCGGAGTGTTCTCAAGTGTTCAGTGTATGAGCCACTTTTCTTTTCAAAATTCCTTACCGGCAACAGATAAGAACCAACCCTGGTACCAAGCCGTCAGTCTTTCAAACCAACCGATTTGATCTGTGATTACATTATGAAACGTACTATTTTAAAGCTTTGTAAATTGCTACGAGTAAAGCAGAGCAATCCAAAATCTACATTGAAAATTACTTTATTCTTCTATTTGTCAGTTTTAAATCATTCGATGTATTGCTTTTTACAGACGAGCTCTACAGCAAAATGTAAAGAAATAAAAAAGTTCTTGATATAGCCCTGGAGAGTACAGCAAGTACCTTATAACACGTGCACAGTTGCGATAAGGTAATCAAGAGTTACTTTGCGGTTAACCAACTAACCTTTTGTTTTATACTGCCCTGTAACCTTAAGGGGTTGCTGTTGACCAGCTCCGGGGGTGATGGCCTCCTCCGAATCATGTGCTTCAGATCTCTCAGCGTATGTATCATCAAAATCTGCTGTGACAGAAGGTTGTTCAATTGCCATAAAGATGTCGTTAATGAGGGCAACGGAGCACTTTTCTATAGGGACTTGTAATTGTGGCATTAATCCACCGGGAAGCCGGGTGGGATAGAGAGGTATAAAGTTTTCAGAAAACAGCACGGGTTCTCCACCGACTGCGTTCAAGAGGTTCGCAGCAAGGGCCAAATGCAACATTTCTTGAATAAGGATCTGTCCGAAGATATCTTGTACTTCGGTATTGTAATTATCTTTGATGGTAGCCAGCGCTGTGAGGTAAGTTGGTATAGTGGCATGCTCGATTTCTAAGGCAGTCTGAAGGTGTTGCCGTAACCGATGAAGTGTAAAATCGTGTTTTTCGTCTCCGGGGCAAGGACGGTCTAGCCATTTCAAGATCATGTCACGTTTATCTCTCGATAAGTCGCGCGTCACAGGCATGTGATTTGGGTGGGAAATTGGGAGTCGCATCGTCATATTGATGTGAAAAAGGTGTTTTGTAACTTCATAGTAGTTTCCAAGATCGACATAGTTGAATGTCATCACGGGGTACAAATTGGCGTACTTTTTGAAAATGGGATACACATCTTCATTCCACGTTGGAGGATCTCGGTAGTTATGAACGTCAAAAACTCGAATAATAAAATACGAGTTGAGAAGGTTCAGGAAATTGCTTCCATTGCAAGTCTGTCCAGGGTCGATTGGATTACTCACTGCCCAGTAGAGGTATGGATACAGCTGACCATCTATGAATTTCCTTGCATTTGAAGGATCAGGGGCGTTGAATGATATGGTGGCCAATCCTGATTGGTTGGTTGTAATGTCCTGAGTAGGGAAAGGAAGTGGCTCTGTTGCAATTGGAGGTCCACCATATTCATAAAATATGTGCTGGCAGACAAATTGTGTTATATGGATCACCGTTCCGGCTGATGGGAGTCCAAATTTCGTCACCAGAAACGATATCTCAACATCTTCGCCTGGTTCGGCTCTCAACACCCACGGTGTAAAGGGATGAACTTGAACTCCATCCTTTGCCTCAGAAAACAAGATCCTTTTACATTGTACTGCCGGCCATGTTCCTTCGACCTGAGTAGAAATGACACAAATGACAATAACGTTATTACAGTCAGTGCTGTTGCCTGAACAGAAGATGTCCCCTGTTGTAGTTTCTTTTCTGACAGCACCGGCTTTCTGACAGCATTTTCGCTGTGAACTGCCTGTAAGACATTGGTGCACTAGCGTAAATGTGAATGTAAAAAAGCGATATTGCAGAAGAACGTGTTCTTAATTGTATTTATTGTATGATAAGGTAAAGTCTGCATATAAACCACGTGGCCCTTCAGGCCAAAGCTTATCCTGGTTTCTGTAGCATGAGGGGACTAGGAGTATTTCTACTCCCCCCTGGATGGGATGCTAGTCCATCACAGGGTGACCCCTAGCATTAAATTCACCGGTACTCATTTATACACCTGGGTGGAGTGAGGCACTGTGAGAGTAAAGTGCCTTGCCCAAGAAAATCATAACACAATGTCTCAGGCCAGGGCTTGAACCCGTACCGTTCGATACGGAGACTCGCGCAATAACCATGAGGCCACGGCGCCTCCACAATGTATACGTTAAACAAAATTTTCGAAACTGATTAGTTCTTGATACGGTTTCTTCATTTTTCCCCTGACAAAATTACCAATGGACTTTGTTAGATGTCAATTTTGTCAGAGTATCCAGTAATGAAGAGAGATAATGATTTTCTTGGCAAAAATTAGTAAGCTCCACGTTTCCTAAATTTATCCGGCAAATGTTGTTATAGCAACAGAAAGTTTCTCCTTAATTTACCTCTGCTATAACAAGGGGTGTATTCTCAAGTCTGTTTATTTCCTCGTCTGATAAAACCCCGATTGGCGGAAACGAGTGCACACCGGCGGAGTTTTTATACCAGTTCTCTATACGGTAAAGAACCATGCCAAGCGTCTGCAGATCATCAGTGCAGGAGACAGGCTTGTTACCATCAGCCAGCGCTCTTGGTACTGCCACAAGTAGCTGGCCTATAAAGGTCACGTTGTGGCTTCCGTTTTTCATGATAGGCAGGCTATTCCCGAAATCAACAGTCAATTTTTTGTCTTGCTTGTTTAACACAAAGGGGGCGTCTTGGAGACCCTCCATTTGAGCTTTCAGCATTCTTTCACCAGGTGAAAACGGCGGGGATTGAGGAGTAGCCAGACCAATCGTACCTGTCAATTAATCAATCAATCAATCAATCAATCAATCAATCAATCAATCAATCAATCAATCAAGCAATCAATTAATCAATTAATCAATCAAGCATGCAAGCGATCGAGCGATCGATCAGCCAGTCAGTCATTCCGTCAGGCAGTAGTCAGTCAGTCAGTCTGTCTGTCTGTCTGTCTGTCTGTCTGTCAGTCAGTCAGTCAGTCAGTCAGTTAGTAAGTCAGTCTCAACGCTCTAACCTCATCAGCAAAGTCTATTTTGGATATTCAAGGAATCAGTATCAAAAGGATCGATTTTTCTATTTACTCTACTCCTAACAGTCTGGATCCGCCATTAGATTCGCATTCATATCAAACACCGTATATCGATTACACCAACTGCTTGTATGAACTTCTGTGTCAAGGGAATAACATCAATCTAGGGTGGTTACAAACGAGCATACAACTGAAACTTATTCTACGACTGATAACTTACCAGTTATTCGTCCCCAGCCAAAATATGGTTCTTGTGGGACCTCATTGAATGAATCCATGTTGAATCGAATAGATAGCTTTCCACTGGTCTTCATAGCTTTATCCTTTAACTCCCGCAAAAGTTTTGACTTGTTTGTATTGGTCTCATTCCAATTGATGTTTGTCAGCAGTGACTGCCCCGCTGCCGCTTGGTCTTCATCACCGCCCGATGAATTGGCTGTCTTCACCCAACGATACTGGAACGGAGCAGGTTGAAAATCTGCTGAAAAATATTCACCAACAAGAATCCTCCAGCCCCAGATTTCTGCAAACTTGTGCGCTTGTGGATCCAGGTCAACAAGCTTTGCTGGGACTCTCGTGCCCCCTCCTGTGTGAGTTAATTAATAACGAGCAGGTATGATAAAAATATACTAATGGACATTTTCATTTGTAGCATTCTGATGGACATGTTTATATAACTTAAGACTTTTCCTTACGAACATATTTTTGTACTATGTGCGTCTTGGCCCTAACAGAGAAAAAATGTCGTCTAAATCCTGGGATAATCTTTCAATGCAGATATTGCAGCGTTGTAGTGTTGCAAGTGTGAGGTCAAGATGGCTGGATATTGGCCATTTTTTTGCATGTTTATGGGCAGAGACAGAGTCGAGGCCCATAGCTATCAGGGAAATTTTTCCTGCGAGACAGAGAGGGTAGTACCGTTTAGTACCGCGGGCAAGATAGCGCCATCACGCCCGCTCGAGTAGCCAATAACAGCGTAGTAATTGGTTCATCTTGTCCGCTCACGGATTGCGGCTAGCCATTTAATAATTACCTGTAATGCCAGTCTCACAAAGCGGCTCGTCAGGTAGATTTCCCACACACCGATAGTCAGAGTAACACACATGGGTCACCTCAGCTTCTACAGTCCACTCCCCACTCCCCATAGGATTCCAGTTGTCAGCACTTGGTTGTGTCTCGCTTGGAGCGATTTCCTCCGGGTTGAACAGATTTGGGAAATTGTTCAGTGTCGGTGTGTCTGCGCGAAATCTCCCAGCAAAATGAAAATGGGGATAGTGCAGGTACGTTAAATGATCTGTTAAATCGAAAAAGAAACAAATAAAAACAAAAACATATGTGGAACATCGCGGATTAAAAATCAGGTTATAAGATGACTGAAAGAAGTTAAAATCTTGATTGATATAAATGGTGGAGAACTCGTATTATTTCAGCTCATTTTTTGCTAAATGATGTTATTTGTCATGTGAGTTATACTTTGCTTAAAAACACTGTCCGTATAAAATTTCTGTCCACAGTTTACACACCTTCACCTGTAAAACGTTTTGTAAAGAAAAACACTTCACTTTTGAATATGCTCAGTTGCTTGGCCTGAGGGGCACCTTAGTTAGACTTCAATCAGTCTCTGTTTTGCTCGGAGATCTACTGAGGGCAGCCGAATACAAGCGAAAAAGCAGTGGAGAGCGACGACCGCGAGTCGTCTTCTGACGCCCTTGCTACTCGCGGCTTCGTCGCTACGCGCTAGCCTTTGCTTGTTCGTTTGTTCTTCCCTCGCGGATCTACGAGTAAAAGAGAGACTGCTCGCAGCCTGACCTTAGTGTAGATTATCATGGATAAAAGAAATTGCTACTAATTAGAGTTAACACAACTTCATCAAGGATATTCAATTGATATGAATCACTGCATGGAGCACTACAGCTTCTTATTTGCCTCAACTTTTCACAAGCTATTAGAAAATGTAATCCGCTAAAAACACTTTGATCTTTTGCTGATAAGTTTATTGTCATTAATTACTTAACAGCAACACTTGGAATATTTTGGTAATTGGTGCTCTATCATTCTGTCAATATCGTATTTTCTTTACTTGCATTTACTTAAGGGCAAAGTGCACTGAATCATGGTGAAGGGTGCGGCTTTCGAATTTATTAACTATGAAGAACACAAATGAAACTCAAATGTATACTAATAACTTGTTACCATGTAGCAATCTCATTGCTAATTCTTACTGATAAAGTAGTAGCGATTTGATTTACGGTGTACGAAAAAATAAACATGTTAATGAGGAAGGTAGTGGATAAACAGGCTTCTGTTTACGGTCACTGCTCAAAAACAGGAAGACTTAAGATTTTTCCTGTTTGAGTCCGAGTGCACAACAGACAAACTTTTATCTCAGCAACACTCGCAACTTATCGACTTTCATTCTTCACCGATCCTAAATGATCATCCCCATTAAATTAATCAAGTTTGATAGGAATAAAACAACGTTCAAATGGGTTATGCATGGCTTGCCTAAGCCCAGTGGAACATACCTTCCAGTTTTCCTTGATCATCCGGATGCGTTCCTTCACAGAACTGTAGTGATGCTTGCATGAACATGAGAGACATAAGAAGAACCAACATCTTTGGTCCACTTTGCGAGGAAACCAGATCAGTCATCTTGAGCTGGTTAAAACGGTTAACTGTTTGCAAACGTGCTCAACTCCCGGAGCTCCAAAGCAGACAGCAAAGCTACAAAGCAAGTGAACCTGAAAGTGAACGCAGACGTTCTATTATGTCAACGGAAAGCGTTTTGCTCGTGATTGGCTCAACGTTACCTCTTTATCGTTTTTTTTTTGTTTTGTTTTGTACTCCCAGCATTAAATCCAATTTTCAAAATTTGCAATCTTCCTACTTGACATTCCGGGATATCCGATCTAAATATCTCAATCATATCTTAATTTTTAACCCCTAACAGGGCATCCGAATGTTCAAAGGGTGAATAACGCTATCAACTGGATAACACGTAGCCTGTGTTCCTCCCCGAAAGAAACATTGGAGTTGTGTTGAAAAAATCGTGTTCAAGGTCTCCTGATTTTTCCTGGAATGTGCATTGCATCCCCCCGGGGGGGGGGGCAATGCCATATATGGGCTATATAGGTATCTGCCGCTGTGAAGGGTATGGTTTTCAAGCAGTTTACTCTAGGATAGGGTATATAAATCAGACCGTTTGGGTCTAGAATAGGGTATCATTTTTCACAAAACTGACTAGTTGGTTGAAGATTTTATCTAGACTAAGAAAACCACGAATTGCCACTCAAAAATATTTAAAAAAATAAAATCAGCAAGTTTAGATTTACGCAAATCAGCCTCAACAGTGTCGATAGATGGGGGGATTTGGGGAGTTTACTCTAGTATAGGGTAGCAAGATTCAGCTGAACTAGCTCTGGTATAGGCTAAGGGTTCCAAGGTCCCAGCGGCACATCCCCACCCAGAAATTCCCAAAGGACCTCCCCCGGGATTGCATCCCACGGCGCGACGTGGACTGGTGATGATGGATGGAAAATGATCTGATTGGTTGATCGATCGTTTGTGGTTTAATGAAACAACGTTTGTGAATTGTTGACCTCACCACATTGCGTTTTATCGGTAGCACTGACAAATATCTTATGTGAGATCTGGAATTAGAATTCTCAAGTTTCAAAGCTAATCAGCATTTTACGGCGACAAAATTATTCCGTTCAAAGGTCATTAACTTTGTCATGAAAAGATCACGTGCAGTGCACAAGGGTTTTGTTAGTCTCCGAGATTCACATCAGCTGTTATTTTTAATCCATGGACGATTTATAAACTTAGGCAAGGAATAGGATTATAAATTGCAACACAGTCGCTCTCACCGATTATTTCTTTCTGGGAGGGCCGGCGGTTGTGAAACGGGCTAGATATAGTGTAATAAATAAATGAATAAAACGGGCTGATTTCTACAGACAGTCTGTCATCTCCCACCCCTCCCTTATCAAACCGTAATCTGCCGCGGGAAAGTTGGGGCCAAGAAACGAGAACGCCTGACTCTTTTTGCCAATACATGTACGTGTATCTTTAGAAGTGGATAATTGTCGAACAGGCAGTGGAGAAAGCTGAGGTTATTTCAGTAAAAGCCGAAAGTCTTCAAATATAAATGGCAGCAAACAAGCGTCTTTCGGCAGTGTCAGGTCATTTACATCCGAGTTTATCACATGGCGAGAAATATCGACGATGTCTCGTGGAAGATTTACGAAAGGTCAGTAGTGATTCCTTCAGTAAACTTCCTGTAACCGTATAAGAAAATAAAATAAAGATATAAGTTTATAGCCGCATTTTTATTAGAAAAATATGTGCCCTGAAAATAAAAAAATAGCTTTGTTTCATTGCGTTTTATTTTTCTTTTCTGTTTTCTATATGGCGTAATAGGGACCGTTTTATAAAACATAAAAACAAAAAGAATATTATATAAACAAAAGACCTCAATATGATCACGGTTTTGGACGCCATCTTGAAGGGTTGGCAACACGGGTTATTTACATGGGAATCGACTGTAATTAAGCTTAATTTTCTTAAATACTGAATTCCATACAATCTATTAATAGCAAAGTTAAGATACTGGACAAAGGAAGGATGTAGCTGTGCTGTAAAGCGTTCAGTGGCGTTTTAATTCAGTTTTCCATACATTTGTATATAAATTTTTACGTGGCTTTACAAGTTCGCGAAAAATAATTAAAAAAAATATGTAAAAAATGTAAAATAAAACTCAAAGACAAAATGTTTATTGAAAACTCAAAATGTCATTAGATGCTTTCTAGCTTAGTCTCATATTTCAAACTTGGTTTTAATCCTTTACCTATTATCTAAAGGTTGCTGTTCATAAGTTGTTCAGAATTCATTTTTTAAGAAAACTTTTGCCAGTGGGTTCTCATTCAAACGCTGTTATTTCTGATGCTGCTGCCTACCATTAAGATGGCTTCAAAAAACAATGTGATAAGATCTATTATAACTTTCAGCAGATGTCTACAAATCTTATGAGTTATTTGTTGTTATACTGTGCTAAATTACATCTGAAATTATCCACCTCATATTATGCAATTTTACAAACATTTACCTATTAAATTTGTATCCCTGCAATGATGCAAGTTGACCTATCTATGATTTGAACAAATCTAGACTTTTTGCCACCTGTGGTTTTCAGGAAGTGGAAATGAGTGGGCCAAAAAGCTGACCATGATATTTTCAGAAGTGCATCTTGGCTTTTTTTCTGGTTAACTTTTGTGTGAGGATCCAGTAGTTTTACTTTTCAAGATTTTTGAAAACATTTTTAAACAACTGATCCATGTTAATCTCCATAACAGGAGTCTTTTGTAATATATCAGATAAATTTTGAGAAACAAAGTTAAATCCTTTTTTCGTTTTATTCTTTATTTCAAACAATAACTTTTTTGTAGCATGGAGTTAATGACGTAGAGTTATCTGGTCCCCCTCCATGTCATGAAGTGGAGTATCAGACTCTTCTCACCCCAGAAGCACTGATGTTTGTTGTTGAACTTGTGAAGCAGTTTGATAAGAGTGTGGAACAGGTATATATCATGACTATTATGATACCTGCACAGTTATTTTGTGAATAATTTTTTTTCAGACATGAGACACAGTGTTTATATATCACTTTGTATATCTGACGATAACTTGCAAGTATTAAGTTTTGCTTCTAAAATTGGAACCATCTTGTCTGAAACAATGAATATCGAGTGGGAATGCATACTTCCAGGCAGACCTTTATGAATACTAGTTATGTTGTGTGGTTCCAGAAAATTTCCATATCCCACCCCAGGGACTAGGAGGATTACAACTGAAAATTCTAAGAAGTAGGGGATCTCAAAAGTCAAAATTGTTAGATAAATGTGAACCAAAACTGGAATTTTCAGAGGAAAGGGGGAGAGGGGGTAAGCCAAACATGCTTCCGTGGGAGGGGTACAGATATTTTCTTTAACAATACACTATATCTCAGTTGAATATTTATTTCCCGTTTACATAATTTTCTCAATTTATGCTGCAGATGCTAAGATATCGAACCATAAGGAAACTGCAACTAAATGACCTGGATGAACTGCCATTCTTCCAGCCACAAAGTGCAGAAGTTCGGGATAAAACCTGGAAGGTGTTGCCTGTCCCACCCAGACTGCAGTGCAGGATAGTAGATCTTGGAGACATCTCTCCTGCCAATACAGAACTCTTTATGAAGGCACTTAATTCACCAGCTTGTGGCATACAGGTATAAGGCCATAACCTTGTGAAGTGTTTCTTGGAGCCAATGTGAAGTCACAAATGAGTCATTCTTTAAGATCTACTATTTTTTAACTTTAACACTTTTTGTCTCTTGAGAACACTTTTGGAAGTTTTCAATTTATTAGTGGTGACAAGTACATACAGTGTAAGTGAGTGAGGGATAGAGAGGGGGGTACAGTGAAGTATTGTCATTTAGATTGTTAGCTTCCTTTCAGGCTGATCTTGATGATGGCCATTGTCCTTCCTGGTCAAATCAGTTGAGAGGACTTTACAACATTTACCAATTTGTACATGGCAGTATGACAGGTCAGGTGCCCTCATGTGTTACTGTTCAGGACAGCTTATCTCTTTTGAACAGGAGCATTTTCCAAAGTGTAAACTAAATTAATTTATAAGGGGTTTAAGGCCATAATGAGAAGCCATTTACAAAATTAGAATAATTTACTGTTCTTTCAAGTGGGGCCTTAAACTAAAGCTGTATTTGATCAAGTTGACCAATGTTTCAAGCTTTTGCAGATTCACGGCATCATCAGGGATAGAAAATATCCCACTGTACATCTACATATAGCATACATGTAATGAGTAATGAGGTAATGGGGTGTGATGTAATGAGAAAACACACGCACTCCCTAAATGTATCATTTTTTTTTAATTGTATCTATTTACTACAAATCTGTTTACAGGGGTGTGAATAGGCCACATTCAATATATCAATATTCTAACATGGCTCCCAGGCTTTCAGGACAAACTTCCATATTGTGTGGTGTTTTCTATGTATCCAAGTTTCTTTTGGGAATTGGGAGAAAAAAGAAACTTAACTAAAATTGTCAATTTTCACCCGAAAGCCTCGGAGCCATGTTAGAATATTGACATATCAAATGTGGCCTATTTATGTAACTATTTATTTACAGGAGTTCCATCAATGTCTAATGCTCCAGTAATCATGTTTCGACCCAGGGCATGGAACATGTTGGAATTCAATATGATGGTTAGAACTCTTAATCTGTAGAAACTGAGTGATAATTAATGGACATTCATTTCTGCTTGTAAAATAAAAACCCCTGATATTCACAGCCTCTATTACTTTCTTTGATTACCTGATTACATGAAGAGCATGCAAAATTTGAAACAAGCATAGGGGAAGGGGTGGGGAAGGAGTAGAAACAGGAAAAGTCCTGGAGATATTGCCTATTTCCCCATCCTCTCACTCTTATTGCATCCCTTTATGTCTCCCTCTCTCCCCCTCCCNCCCCCACAACCTTTTAATGAAAGTTTTCTTCTTCTAAATTTCTTCACAGGTTGGAGGAAGAGTCATTCCTGGCCCACTGTTTGACTTTGGTCTTCACATGTTTCACAACAGCAAACTTATGATGACAGAAGGAAATGGTCCTTTCTTCTACTTACCGAAGGTATGGGTCAGTTTTTTTTCAAGGCTTAATAGAGAATTTAAAATTACTCTTGACTAACTTGCAGTAAAGGCAAATCAGTGACTAATGGTCAAGTCTGCATACGAGCCAAGTAGAGGCCCATCAGGGTAACGCTTATCTCCGGTTTCTGTAGCATGAAGTGACTAGGAGTATTTCTACTCCCCCATGGATGGGATGCTAGTCCATCACAGGGTTACCCCCAGCATTAAGTTCTCCAGTAACCATTTATACACCTGAGTGGAGAAAGACACTCTGAGAGTGAAGCGTCTTACCCAATAACACAACACAATGTCCCAGGCCAGGGCTCGAACCTGGACCGCTCAATCAGGAGACGTGCGTGCTAACGATGAGCGGTCACGTCTCCCAATCAGTGACTAATGAGGGGTTCTAATTCCCCTGCATGTTTGTCTTGACCCTGGACTGTGTGCTAAACTTTACCTCAAAACTAAAATCAACCATGATTTGGTTTCTGAAACTTTTTCCTGGGCTTTGAAATTTATTACCTGACACCTTTTCAATCTTCTGTTGTTTGTTGTTTTAGCTTGAAGGTTCCAATGAAGTGAAGGTTTGGAATGAGATCTTTGTTTGGACTCAACAAAGGGTACTGAGTCTTATAAGCAGTATTTGAGTTGTTTCTACTCTTTTGTCCTGTACTACATTTCTCTGTCAGGTATGTTTAAGGCAGCGTCCACGCTACGCCGGAGAAATTAGAAAACGCAGCTCTTTATTTCTACGGTAAGGCCATACTAATCCGTTACGAAACGGAGCTTTTCGAAAACGCTCTTTAAACTGGAGGAATTTGAAAACGCCGGCTTTGCGTTTTCGTGTGGACGGAAACATTTTGAAAACGAAGATTTTCGGAAACGATGACGTCATGGTAATCATGTGATTTCCCAGACGGAGTTCTCCTCAAACTTAAATCCAAAATGGCCGGTGATTGCAGCGCTTATTCCTGCGGCCTAGTGTGGACGGAAAGTATTTGATGGGTTTTCACGAGCCTGATGCTAATACCAAGCTTATTGTGTTTTTGCGATTTTGACTAACTGATTTGATAAATATTTGCGTTGATGTTTCAGCTTGGTCTGCCTCAGGGATCCATCAAAGCTAGTGTTCTGATAGAAAGTATCTATTGCTCGTTTGAGCTTGATCAAATCCTGTATGAATTGCGGCAGCACTCCGCTGGGTTAAACTGCGGCATGTGGGACTACTCAGCCTCTCTTGTGAGCAACTTTGGTACGAAAGCGCAAATAATTGATATCAGTAAAAAAAAGTAGTTGTGCTGGATAGGGTTAATATTTAATTAAGACACGAAGTCAAATAATGCGTACGTCAAGACTATCAGTAAAGAAAGTCATCGTTTCAAAGCGGATAGCTTTAGGGAGAAATTAAAATTTTCATTAAATCATTATTTACATGTATGTAACAGGTGCACTAATTAAACGGACGCCAGGTGAACCGCAAGACAATGTGGTTTAAATGTTACCGTTAGGGTGTTTCTACTGTGAGAGGATCATTTTCAGAAAGTTCAGGGAGAACGTTTGGAAAAAATAGAAAACCTCCTCCTGCAAATCGGATTCACACAGACTTATATTCATTGGAAACCACGACGGCAACGCCCAGGTCAACGTCGATTAAAAAAATGATTTTATATTTTACCTACCAATCTCGCGGTACCCTAAAATCATTTACTTTGTTTATCACTGTCAAAGCTTTCACGAAACTAAATCTAGGACACATCGATAAATTCGTAATAAAAATTTAAAAAATTAGCCGTCGTGGTTCACGTTCTCCAGACAACGCAGAATTTGGTCATTTCTCGTATTTCCTTTTCAGGACACCGTCCAGATTTCATTTTGCCTGATCGTAAGAAGTACGTTTCCATGGATAAGCAATATCTCAAGAGTTACATGGACCTGGTTGTCAAGGTAATAAGCAACTTATCCTGCAGAACAAGGAGTAGCGGAGACGGAGTGCGATATCCAAGCGCGCGTGGAGCGCAAAAGCGAGCGCTCGTTCACGCGCTCCGCACGCGTGCTTGTATATAACGCAGTTTGGCCCCGCTAATCCGCCTGTTCTACATGCTATAAGTAATTCTCTACTTACGGGTTATTTATACTAGGATACGTCACGTCTCGCGGCTAGTGAGAAAATTACTTAGCACGGCAATACAAACAACACTTCACATTTCATGTTGAAACAATCACGGCTTAGGAAGAAGAATAGTTTGCTACCGTCACGCACGATGCCATTCTGATCCTATTTCCTGTTGTTCAGACATGCCACGCGCGGGGCTGTCACGCCACTGGTGGAATGGCGCCAGTTGTGTTACCAAAGAATAATCTGCAGCTCCGACAGCAAATCACTGGCAATGTTTGCAGGTAAGAATGTGCCTTCAAAACCCTTTCATAGCTGTGGCTGTTAGGCCAGGTTGCTAGGGGTCGCTGTCTTGAGGAAAAAAAAAAATTGTTTTGTAGTATTTACAGTCAGTCAAAGCCTGTGCTTTACCTCACCCACCGTTTTGCTTTTTTAGAGCAAAATTGAAAGAAATCAAGGCAGGAGCAGACGGGTTTCTGGTTTTTGATCCAGATCTTGTGCAGCCTTTGATCCAGGTTAGTAATTATCACTTCACACTCGTAGACAAGCCAAAATATGTTTTGACATCATAGAAAGTTCTTTTAGCCACCATTCAACCTTTCATTGTAGTTCCTTTTGTTCTGATCGCTTAAGTAAATCAGGAATTGTTAACGAAGAAAGAGGTCATTAATTCGCACTAGAGTGTTATTTCAAAGCTTATCATGTGCCTTTTTTCTCCCAAACCTTTGACACTGTTTTCATGCTTTAGAATTTCTATATTGGACACACAATAGCTTTTCTCTCATGTAACTATTTTATTTTAGTTCTTTCGTTCAAATGAGTAAATCGAAACTTTCTTTCAGATAACGTAGGAACTTTGTTAGAGCTTAAAGAACTTGGTTTGGTTTATTTATTTATTTATTTATTTATTTTTATTTTTTTTCAGCTGTGGGATTCAGAAGTTACTTCAAAGAACCAACTTCATGTAAGCCGGTCTGACGTGTTTGTCTCGAGAAAAGACCTCCTTCATCTTCCACAAGTAAGCATAACTAGCTACTGCTGTTATCATTTAAGTATTCTAAACGGCAGGTAATAAAGCTTGCAATTGCCGAACTCTTTTTTTTTTATATTTTTAGGGTGGATTTACTTTACAAGGATTACAGAATAACATTACTGTTGGAATCATTTTCATAGATGCTTGGCTTAGAGGTAAGTGTGCATCAGAGTTGTTCCTAAGCAACGCAACGCTTAGTTTATACATTGACCTGACAACCGAATGTTCACGAGTGTTCGCGAGCATTCCACTGGTTAACTTTCTTCACCCGACAAGAGTTCGATTGTAATCAGTGAACATTGTCTTGGCGTTAGTATTCTTAGCAAAGACACTTCTTTGACCGACGGCAACCTTCTGTACCACAAACAGTCCAACTTGAAGCGAGTCTTATCAATTGTCTTCGCTTGTGTTTTCACAGGGGAGGGTGTGTTTGTGCTGAATGGAGCTGTTGAAGATTCAGCTACGGCCGAGATTTCTAGATCACAGGTATGAACAATGCACGCTTATTATCGCTAATATGGATTGTACTTTTCTTGCCGGGACCGGTGAGGGGTGGAGAAGGGACGAATTCTTGTTTCATTTAATGCTATTCTTTGCTTCACAGGCAAATTATTTTAGCCAATGTCGTATGCATGTTACCTATAGTTTAGATATTGTCGGGCGTTAGCTCAGGTCAACAGACTTCGTTTTGTTTCCAGGTTTGGCAAGCCATTCGCCACCAGTGTGTGTTGGAGGGAGATGGACGTACAGTGACGAGAGAACTCGTTTCTGATCAAATCAAGCATATCACAGATGAGCTGGTACGGGAGAAAGCTCAAAATGCTGTGGATACAGAGAGGCTCTCAGTGTCTGCTCAGATATTAGAGGAACTCGTTTTAAAACGGGACTTTCCACAGTTTATAACGACGTATCTTTATGAACACCACAAGTTCAGGAATACTGTACAATAATAAAATAGTAATGGAACTGCAAGTGTTAGCCGCTTCATTTCCAGGCTCCATGCTATTCTCTTCGTTAAGAGCGGACACATGGAGCCTGGGGCATGATGGGAAGTAGGATGTACGTCTGTATACTTTCTTCTTCAAATCAGTTCCACAATTCAATGCGCACGGACGACAGAAGAGCGAGGCCTGGGGACCAAGCAGACTTTCAAGTCCGATTCTTGGGAAATTTTTAACAATAGCAGATTTTCAAGTTGTCATTTGACTACAACTACCAGAATTCCTTTCGTTTTTTCTTTATTATTGAAATTTTGAATTCGCAGTGGGATTCAACGAACAATTGCCCTGATTAGCACCAGAAAGAGAAAAAGTGAAGGATTCTGGTAGTTGTGGTCAAATGACGCCATCGTGCAAATCGTCTATTACGGAGAGGAACAAAACAGAGCGCCTTTTCACTTCACCCACAAGCTGCCAGGAACTTTTCTTATAGGCCCTTTACCTAAATTGGGCCTACATTTGAGTAACAATACTTTGTACATCCTTAACCTCGTTCTTATGTTTCTAGACAAAGAATTTTTCAAATGAATGCGAGTTTTAGGATGTATAAGTATTGTTATTCAAATTTAGGCGCTATTCATGCAGAGTCTATGTAGAAACCAGAAATATTCCTAGTGAACGAAGGCGGTCAAACTGCCCTGGAGAAAAATCTTTGATTGAAGAGTAAACGCGGTACTCTTTATTTAGTTTTTTTTTTTCTTGTACGACTGTAACATACCGCGCCCTAACATAAGCCCAGGTATCACTCAAAATGATAGCAGAGAGGAACAAATCTACACGGTTGCTATTCTGTGTCTAAGATGAAAAATCGATGTTGCTTATTGTTGACTCAGGAGTTTCTGTCAAGGTAAACTAGAATTTCAACCGACTTTGACAGTATTTTTACATATAAAAACTACATTGAACGCTTAAGGCAGCGTCTACACAACGCCGGAGAAATTTAAAACACAGCTTTCTTTATATGGTCAGCCCTACCGTCCACACTAATCCGCCACGAAAACGGAGCTTTTCGTAAACGCTTTTCAAATGGAAGCAATGTGAAAACGCAAGCCTTTTGTTTCCGTGTAAACGGAAAACATTTTGAAAACGGAGCTTTTCGAAACGATGAGATCGCTATAATCATGTGATTTTCCTGCCACAGTTTTTCTCAAACAAAAATCCAAAATGACCGGTGATTGTCGCGTTTTGAAATTTTTTCGGCGTAGTGTGGACGGAAAACATTTGATGCGTTATCAGACTGAAAACGCCGTTTGCAAATTCCTCCGGCGTAAAGTGGACCCCGCCTCAGTGAAACCAAGTCTTCCGTGAATTGATCATTTATTATTCAAAATACACCGTACTGTGATTCAAATGATGAAAAGCGAATTCATGAGATAGCAGAATCATGGCTTGTCTCTAGTTACAGTCATTCTTCATTTATTCGAAGTCAAAATCTCTGGCGTGACACGTTGTGACGAACGCGCACTGTGAGCGCACTGTTCAGGTATAACCTCGCGTGTAATTCGTACATTGTTTGTGTCAATAATTCATCAAAACAGCTCTTTGCGAGGTATCGCACGAACGCTTTCAAGTCTTCGTATGGGTAACAACTCTACCCATATAAGTGGTCGAGTCTTGAGCATTCTTGAATAAGTATTAAAAATCTTGGAACACAGTTTACGAGAAGCAGGTCATCGTTTAAGCCCGTTACTCCAATGCTCCACCAATTTAAAAGATCCGTTTGGCTTTTCTCGGTAAAATCGCAGTATTGTTCCTTTGTTTTCTGTTGATTATTTCACGCCACACCGTCGCATAGCGGTTCAGTGCCGCTCGTCTGGTTTCCCTCCAGGCCGTTCACAGCTCCGTCGTCCTTGGCGAAGACCGTAGCCAAAGGAAATAGAGTCCTGCATTTGAGGAAGTACTCTTTTGTCAAATCACTGCACTCACCGAATGTTCCTTCTAACAGCGTGTTGTAAATCAACGTACAGTTCTGTGGAAACATTAAAGAAACTACAAGTAAGGCGACAATCCCTCACACTGCACAACGCTGGTGGAATTTGAAAACGAAGCTTTGTTTCTACGGTTAGGCCCACAGTCTACCCTACTCAGTCACGAAAACGGGGCTTGTTAGGTTTTTAAATTCCTCCAGCGTAGTGTGGACGGAATTTCAGAGTGAAACCTCCGTTTTCAAATTCGTCCTAGCGTGAACGAGGCCTTAGCGCGCTTACCTCAAGCGAAGAAGCGGGGGTGTATGTACACAGGCCAGGTGAACCCAGTGTTCTTTCCCCCCCCCTTTTTTACATTCAGTTTACAAGAACCTTACTCTCGTGACCTTGATGTGAAGAGATAAGTCCTTTCACTCTTGGCCATTTTATCCGACCTGTTTACACGTCATGCGTTATTACGTTGTCTCCACTTTCAGAAGCAAAGCATTTAAATTTCAGAGTCGCGCATAAAGGCGCGAGATGGCCCTCTCTTTCTGACTGGCGTGCTAGCAATAAACAAAAACAAAAACAAAAACAATGCATGAAGTCTCACCTCTAATGTCCTATCTTCAAGAGTGTCTGAGAGATCAGTGACCAGCGCCAGCGCATCGTCTACCTTTGAGGCATCCAGAAGGCACAGCATTTTGCTTCCTATAAAGACAGAAGCAACCTTGACTTTACAACTGTATTTGCCTTTGCATCTGAATTCGTTTTCCATTACTACAATAAGTGATTGGCTCAGAAAACAGGGGGGAGGGGGGGGGGTGCTTTTGTCATCTCAGTAGCACACATTTTCCCGCGCTTCGCGTCACGTGTTTGCTTCGTGTTTTGATTGGTTCACTAGCCTGTCTCTGTCCTTTGTAACTGGCCAGTGATTACTTTGGTTTTGGTTTTGCGATGAAACTCAATCGGCTGAAACCCAAGCTAGAACAAACGACACGCAATCTGCAATTGCACATAAAAAGGTAACGGTTGTGCACTTAACAAAACAGTAAAAAGTAACGTGAACAGACGGAAACTAAAGGGTACAAGTTATACTTTACCTGAAAGCCTATGAAGCAAAGATTGTGAATTTTGTTCCAAGAAATCCGAGTTGAACTGCTTGAGATCTTTGCCATCAAGCAGTGTTTTAAGTTCTCGTTCTATAACTGTCGAAACGGGTCTCTTCAACTCCTTCGACTCCGACACTGAAGGAAGAAAAGTCGGAAATTTACATTAATGTCAATAACAAAACTCAAAATATTATTTACAACATGTCTTTCGCTCAACAATTCCAGACTCTTTATAAATAACAAACATATTTTGAACAACTTTTAGGGTCACGAGATTCTCTTAATTGACAAACTGACTTGGTCCAAGAAAATTGTAAAAATGTCTCGGTGCATTACTGAAAAACCTAAAAAATGACTTAGTGTCTTGGTGAATTGCAGAATGATGTATCTTCTTTCTTTGGATGTTACAGACCTTTAACAGCAAGCCTGACCAAGTTTTCATGCAGTTTAGGATGGTTCGGGTTAATGGCATGTGCACGTTTGACGGATTGCAACATCAACAGAAGTTTGCCTACAACAAAAAAAAAAAAACAAGGAAACCTCGTCAGTTCAAGAAGTTAATTTACCGTGTTAAAGACGCCAAAGATACATTACTCTTTTACTTTCTTTCGTGAGCTAAACCTTTCTTGTCTCCGGATACAACAATCTTATAAACAGACACTGGACGCTGTCATACATACATTTCCGGATGAAGACTTCATAGGCCAACAAATGAGTTTCTATTCTGTTGGACGCCAAATTCTGTAATGGCCGCAGGAACTTTAGAGCTTGTTCAAGAGGATCTGAAACCTGAAAATTAAGGTAAACTAAAATTAGACGTAAACTGAATTTACAGTTCACAGCGGAGGTTTGTTTCCTCTATGTTTCTGTGGATAAGTGACAAAGGCTGTGTTCTTAGATTTGATAAGGCCCTCTACCTGGAAAAATACCACTGACACCCAGAATGTGCATATACAGAGAGTATATACCAGTACTGAGTTTCTTTGATAGGGCGGCAGCTGGCCACATTTTGCACTAGCCCATGTTTGCAGCTCTGCCACCAAAGCGAAAGAAATCGCGTGCAAACTCACGCCAGCAAGCTATACAGGGCACCTACAGAAAGATGGACAATTGTATCATAACAGTTACCCTGACTAATGCATCTGATTCCAAAGGCGGTTCTTTTAACGGATCAGCTTTCTTCTCACTGTCTTTTGTTTCTTTTACATCACTGGTTGCTGCAAGTAAAACCAAAATAATAAAAAAACACAACAATTTTACAAATATTGAAAGTGAAGAATGATCATCGCGGTAAATTTTCCAATTTAACCAACTGGAAAGAAGAAGCCTGAAAAAATCAGGGCTTCAACGGGATTCGAACCCGTGACCTCCGCGATACCGGTGCGATGCTCTACCAACTGAGCTATGANGAAGCCTGAAAAAATCAGGGCTTCAACGGGATTCGAACCCGTGACCTCCGCGATACCGGTGCGATGCTCTACCAACTGAGCTATGAAGCCTGGGAGCGAGGTCAATTAATTGAGTTTATATCTTCCCGTGAGGAGTGAAATGATGTCAAGTATATATGAAATAATTCATATTTGAATTTTACAAATATTGGTATAAACTATTAACGATAATACGACTTTTCCTAGATGCTTCTACTTTTATTTTTACCTTTCTTATTTTCTTGAGCTTTCTTTTCAGCTCTTCTCTGTTTGCTGCGAAGCTTTTTCAGGTCTTTGGCTGACAGTTCGCTCGACCCTGCCTCAGCATCTTCGTCGCTTGCTGCCAATGGCTTGTCATGAAGCCGGACGTAACACTGTTGTAAACAGAAATGAAAACAAATACACGGTTACATCAAAAAATCATTCACAGTCAAAATTGCTGAAGTGTTTTGTCCAATAATTGGGAAAGAAAACCACGAGAATGTTACCAAACAAAACGTTTAATGAGCAGGGCAATGACTGTGCACGTGCGTTATAATTCTTGGTACATTTCTTTGCCGTCCTCTGCAAAACAAACAACGTGAAATGACCAAATTCTGCGTTGTCTGGAGAGCATGAACCACAACGGCTAATTTTTTCATTTTCTATTTCAAATTTATCGCTGTGTTCCAGATTTAGTTTCGTGTTAGTTTTGACAGTGATAAACAAAGTAAATGGCTTTAGAGTATCGCGAGATTCGTAGATAAAATAGAAATTCATTTTTAACCGACGTTGTCCTCGGTGTCGCCCTCGTGGTTACTTAAACTCTCCATTAAATAACATGATGAACTCATTTATGGAAATATTTGTTTTTCACGTCAAGCTTCCACTGAATACTGAATAAAAGCACTGAGAAAAGCAATGAGAAATGCCAAAGGTGATGTAAATTGGGCGAAATGCATGGGCAATCAGACAGCTGTAGCTAAGACATTCAAGGAAGATGCCGATCTAGGCACTGTGTTACTAACCTCTATGGCCATTTTGGCAGCTTTGAAATAAAATCTATGGCTTCTGAGAATATCCTCAAGGCGGAGTAATCTGGAAACAACAGCAAAATATCAGTACATGTAATTAGACTCTTCCCAATTCACTTAAATGTACCTGTACATGCAGACGTTTTATCTTTACCTCACATAAGCTCGTAACGTCATTTTCCTCATGCAGTAGGTGTGGAAGTCAAACTGATCCTCGGTTATTTCGTCAAAATGTCTCTCGATCTCGTGAGCTTTCTTCAACGCCTCTCCTAGTTTGCCGAGTCTCTGCAGAGCATAACCGCTCTCCGTTTGAAACCACATGCACTGCATTTCATTTAGGTTCTCGGCAGCACCAACCCCTTCCTGCGATACAGAGTAATCAGCAAGGAATTTAACAACACGTGTACATGTTATCTATCCACTGTTACACATCTCAAGTGACTTTGCAAAAAGCATCTATGCCAGGTGGTTTGAAAGCAATTTACAATAGTCCCATGAAAACCAGTGCATAAAAAGTGAGTAAAAAAGCCTAACTTTTGTGTTCAAATTATATTATAACATCGACGTAGACACATATAATTTATTTTACTTAATCACATACTTAGCTACGGTGGCAGTGTATCCCAGAGAATTGATAAGCAATGTCTACAGGGCACACCAGCTAGTTTACAGGTGTGCCAAGAAAAAAAAAAACAAAGTAAAAATGTACAAAAATGTACAAGCATGACGTCACATTATTTGACGTATCTGATACTCACCCTTGTGAATAAACCACAAGTGTCCTCAGCCTTCTGAACTTGATTGGCACGTAGCTGGTACTTAGCACATTTGCAATTGACATATCTATCGGCAGTGTCCAGAGATCGAGCTTCATCCATACAATGTGCTGCCTTCTCCATGTCACCACCATGCTAGTGAAAATGGGCATAACAAAATTCAATATAAATTAAGACTCAAGCATGCCACAAGTAGAAAGGGTACAAATAATATATTAAATTAACGTTGATGTTACTAAACTGTGCATGAAGCAGGATGTAAAAAAAAAAAACAACCACATTTTCAGGCTTCCCATTTGGGCAAGCCCTAACTTCATGAATAATGTATTAAAGTAAAGGTAAAGCCAAGTGGCCCAAAAATCATTTTCACTAGGCACTAAAAAAGTTCACCTCTTACAGTACTTAGGTAGTTTGAATTTCCTCAAAAATATTCCCAAGAAATTAGAAAGATCTACATCAGTCATCCATTTAAGGAAGGGGGACATCTACATAAGGGGGGGGGGGGGAATTTGTGAACTGACAACCTTGGTTTTTTTTTTTACTTAATGGTTAGTTCAGGTTGCCCATACTCTTGTTTTTCAAAAATGTATCTATATGTAATCTAGTAAGTAATTTAAAGGGTAATAGAAAGAATGTTTTTGTTGCTCTTGTTGTCCTGTGTCACATGACTTAGTCATGTTCACACTTGATAAAAATATCTTTTACGAATTAGCTTTGATTTAGATTTGCTTTCTTGTGGATTTGAAAAGGAGTTTGAGCCACACCAGCAGAGCAAGTCTCATGTACTTATACAATTTACTGGTCCCATTTGGAATTTCCAATAACCACCTCTCTCATGCTTTATTGTAGTCTCTTCCCCTCCTCAGAGTAAATCACTCCTATCGTTTTTTATGGCAAGGCCAATTCTCTCTTTCAATCACTTTGCAGGCAAGAAGAAAAAGCGAGGAGCTTAAGAGTGAACTGTCAGATTCTAGCAAGCGTAACTCCATAGCAACTGATTCTGGAAGTAAGCGAAGCAGTCTTTTCTCACCTGAGAGTGATGGCGGGGAATCACCCAGGAAGCTATCCCTCAAGTCTTCTGCTCAGGCTGTAAGATTCATGAACAAGAGCAAACAGCAGGTAAGGCTAAAGTATTTTTGATTTTGTTGTATATTTTAAGGGTTTGTCTCAGTGACGTTTCCACGTGAAATGTTGCTAATAGTGCAGCCAATGACCGGCAGGTGCAAGTTGATCTAGAATGTTATGCCAGTTCCAGTAAATTTATAGTGCAGGGCAGCCCTTTCATTTTGATTCAGAACTAGTTAGACAGAAAATATGATTACTCTAGTGTAATGCACTGATGAGGGAATATACTACAAGCATTCCACAGAGTAGTGTATCAAGTTACAAGAAAGGATCAATTGCAGTAGTGCTGTATATCATAGACATGTATTGTTCCACTAAATATGTCGTCGATGTAATATTTTTGGAATGGATGATGCCTTACCCTGATTCATTTTGTTGTTACAGTTGGAGGGGTGCGTGGAGAAAGGCCCTAAGTGTTTTTTGATCTCATGTCAAGTTCTCCCTTTCTGTACAAGGAAGTGAAAAGCAATTTGTTAGGAGAATTTTGCAGTCTATCAGATGTCACTTAGGGTCTTTTTCCATGCACCCCTTCAGTTAGTAATTCCTAATAACATCCGCATTACTCTCATAAGTACGTAAAATAGTACAATATTTATAGTGCCTTTCCAATTCACAGAGTGATGCAGGTTCAGGCTCAGATCAGAGTGACAGTTCTTCAACTCCATTAAACAAATCCACCACACCGACTCAAACATCACCAGCTGTTGAGATTACTCAAGATAAGTCCAGTGAGAGTTCTTCAAGGAAGTCTTCTCTTTCCCGCAAGGATTCCAAATCTGACAAGAGGAAGAGCAGCATGAAGGAGAAAAACGCTGGAGGAACACCAGAAAAATCTATAAAATCCAAGTCTCCTGATAAACCTCAAGCTGTCATTGAGCCAGCTGAGAAAACAAGGACAACAGAGGACAGTTCAGAAAAGAAACAAAGTGTTACAAAAGAAACAACAGATAACCAAGGTAAATGGAGGGGTTTGTGCCTCTGATTGTATAGAGTGGGAATTTTTTACAAGGCATTTGTGGGACAGGATTACAAATACATTTATTGTATTAAAGAAGTGCAATATCATAGTTTCATAGAGCAGTTTTCACTTTAGTGTTGAGAAGTATTTAGGTTTGCATTACTTCGCTACATTGTTAGCTTAAAAATCTTGTGCCACTTTTTCTTCCAGTCACAAATGAGACCAATCGTGAGGTGCAAGTACACATTTTCCTTCTCTTTGACACTCAATTAGTCAAATGAAAACCACTCTACAAAACTCCATTGAAAACCGCCCAAATGTGTGCAAAAAACTCCAGCTACATCTGCGTAAATTAAGGCTAAGTGAATTTCTTTTTCCTCAGTATGTTATAAAGCTCTTCCTTTTGGACTGACACAAAGAATTTATACAAGCATGTGGGTAACTCGTGTTTGTGTCCAGAATATATCATGTGGGCTATATTGTTCAGTTACACCTGTACATCATCACCAATCTACACGTACTCATGAATGCCTAAAATAAGGTGTTTGATTCTTTTCTCTACAATGCATGTAGGCACAACAGCTGTTGAGATGGTAGACATGGCCACCCAGAGTGAGACTGAAGACTTGAGTGACATTGAGAGCAATGCCCAGCAGAATTCTAGGAAACCGTCTTTTCTGCAAGTTGTTCCGGAGGAAGAAGACGAGGACGATGAATTGGTAAATTGAGGATTTCCTCTTTTTCATCCACACTGTAAATCCGAGAATACTTTTTAGCCAGTTACACAAACCAGAGCTATACAGGTTTTGTTTTTACATGAGTGTGACTGTAGAATCACAAAATTCTCATTAGAAGCTACTACTGATTTGCATCAACTTGTTGTGCGGAACTTGTGACATGTACACGGCTTACATGTAGTTCCCAGAAGTCTACTAAACTTAGAAACCATCATGTAAGAGAATACAACTTTTGGCAGAAGGTTGAGGGTTCAACTTATGTTGGGAAAATGTAGGAAAAAAATCTTCCCAGACGTGTGCACCATTGAATGATACACACGTTGTGTGTTTCTTGGAAACTCAGTATGCAACTGTATTGTCACTGTTTGAAAATCACCAGTAACCAAGTTTTAAAACTCGTCAAGGAGCGGGATGTAGATTTTCTGAAATTAAACTGTATCATGACACGTCTAATGTTCCTTGTGTCCGTTTACTTCGTAGGAATCACTTTCTAAAGAACATCTTATGCAGAAACTAGAAGATTACAAGGTTACGGTGTGTAGTTCTTTGTGTACAATGCTTGCCAGGTTGACTTGGAATTTGTAATGGTGGATGTCATGAAGAACAGTGATGTTCAAGTTCTTTGTGCCTCAATGTCTGAGCTTACTTTGTGTTTTAGGCGCAAGAGAGACAGAAGAAGCTGGAGTTAGAACTTGCAGAATTGAAAAACAAGGCATGTGAACAATTTGCTTTGGTTTGTTTATTGCACTTCAACGCTAATAATACGTTCAAGTTGCTATTTTCAGTAGCAATTTACGTACGTGAACGAATTCGTTCATCAAGGATTTTACAAAGTTATTACTGAAATAAGCCTCGAAATTCGGCAGATTACAAGGCATCTTTGGTGCAGCCAGTTTGAAGATATTTGTTTTTGTTTCTTTTCTTTGTAGTATATGATGAAAACGAATTCCTTGAAAAAGCAAAATGAGGAATTTCAAGACAGTTTCCAAAAGGTAAGAAATAAATATAATGAGCTTTATTTTGTATTACTCGCTCTTAGCGTGCTTTATGTTGTTTTTTAAGTGTTCATTACCAGTATAGGTGTAACAAGCTGCTTTTTCTTGGTGGAAAACCATCTTAAAATTTAGAATTTTCAAAACTCTCGCTTCCTATTTGTCTGTGAAGAAGTTTGTTTTCAAATGTTTTTCCTTCAAAAATCAAGTTCTTAATTCTCCTGACGTGCCAACTGAAAAAAGTAAAGAGAAGCTAGATGTTCAACAGCAGGCAGCAGTAAGTGTAGTTGTGAATTGCCTCTCAAGTCTTTTATTTGACCAACAGGAAAAAGAAGTGTTGCTTAGCAGGATAAAAGACGCCGAGCTACTCAAGGTAATTTTGGGTTGTTAATAGATCGTAGTGGCGAGAAGTGATATGCTGGACTGATAGATGTTTTTGGTATCAACACTTTTATTATTCAGTCACAAAGAACTCCCACCTTAGAACCCCACGTTGAAACGACCTCGACACGTTCGTTATCAAGGCTACTTTTGTGGTGCGACAAAAACACTCAGCTAGTCATTTTATTAGTTTAGGCACGCCGTTAATTACGACCACTGCTTATATACATATACGACCACAATTTTCAAGCGCTCGTGTTAACGGAGTTCCAATGTATTATTTAACAGCGTAGTACCGTAGTCAATTGTACTAAACTTCAAGCAATGTCTTCGTATAGCTTCAAAACGGCGCACAAGTTTAGTTAAATTTTCGTCCAGGCAAACAAATTTAGTCGTCTCGTGATAGTTTGTTCAAATAAAATGTTATTTTAACTAATTTTCTTACTCGTTATTCGCCAGGAACAAGCGGAAAAAGAGGTAAGAATACTGTACATTTTATTTTAGCCAGAGCATTTTTTGTCAGCAGCATTTTAAAATACTTCAATTTCTCTTTGTGTTCTTTTTTTTTTCAATTTAGTAATTATTGGGATTTCAACTTCTGGGTACATTTAAACAATCACCTGCTACGAAGGGAACATATTTGCAATAGTTAGATTATGCTTGTAAAGTACTTCATATTGCGTGGTATTTTAATACCTACAAAAGTTCTCGGTCGATACATTTTATCTTTACTACATATTGTGAAGATAGTAAAAAAAAAACTACACTGCGTAAGGAGAAGGTCGGAGTCAACAAATGTGAGAATTCTTTGCGTGTCAAATTCAGTATGGATGTGTCAGAGCAGTAATTTGCAAACCGACCGCGACCATGAAGCGGGCTGTTTACCAAGTGACTCCTTTTTTCTTTCAGGCTGAACAGGCAGTCTTGCAACTGGTGAGTTTTCGTTACAATTTTCTTCCCCAAAATGACCAATATGTTAAGTCTCAATTCATCCTGACGTAGACATGGCAATGTAAATGTTTCTCTTTGTAGCTGGTGTGCTGAATTAATCAATTTCTCCGTGATCTCAAGAAAGACATGCCTAGTCATGACCACCGTCTTCATTGCCTTTTGTAATATATATGGTACATGCAGTGCCGTATACCTACGTTTTGTGTTTCTGGAGTTTGCGTTTTTTGATGCTAGTGGCAAGTTTCTTTTTGGTCGAATTTTGATTTGATAACGCCGTTTTGTGCTTATTTAAACTAACCGATGACTGGCCAATCAGAGAGTATTTTATATCAACTATTAACAGGTGTAATCACTTTCTCTTGTAGGAAGAATACCTTTCAGAACAGGAGGAAATGGTAAGAATACTTAAGGCCGAGCCAAAAGCCTCAATTTGACAGTCATTTTTATCGATTCATTGCTGGAAAAAATGCGATAGTGAAAATCTGCTATAAAAGATTTCATCCGACCTCGCCCTTCTCATCGACGTAGCTACATGCAGGGCTGCCATTAAGTTTTGAGTCACCCATCGCCTTAGTCCTCACACCTGTAACAAACTTGTTACATGTGGGTGGATTTCACCAAGAACAGGTAAGTTCACCCGTTGGCCGTAGCATCAATGGCCAATCAAGCATACTCGGCCGTAACAGGTGTTACGGGTTACGGCCCTTAATGACAGCCCTGAGGTCATGTAACAGTCACGCACATCTGGTATTGATCAAATTGTAAAGTAGAAACTGGCGGTTGTGGAAGTACCTAACTGAGCTTAAAGCGCTGTTTCAGTCTCTGTTTCGTAAATTAAAGCACGTTTCGGTCATCAGGCATACAAGTAGTGACTTTGATAGATCGATTTAAATTGTTCAGTAATTCCACCTCACTTTGACACTTGTCTTTCTAAAAAACCAGAAACAAAAAGTAACACTTCATTTTACAAGTTTATTTGGTAGTTTATTGGGAATTTGTACTGTTAATCTTTAATTTCTTTATACACGGTGATAAAATTCATCAGGATTCACAAATACAATGAATATATTCATATCTATACTAAAACTAATAAAAATAATAATCTTCTAATCTGTCGGAATCCTGGGAACAATACCGTGCCTACGTCAACATTTTACCATGGAATAGTTGCCTAGTGTATTGGCACGTAATGTATAGTCATGAAATTGATTTTGTTTACAGAAAAAACTAAGGGAGAAGGCTTTACAAGACAAACACGAAGAGCAGACCATGACAGGTTTATCACTGTACGACAGGACTGAAGAGGAGACCATGACAAGCGGCTCATTATTTGACAAGCAAGAGCAGGAAACAATGACAAGTAAATCCTTAGCAAACATGCGTGAGGAACAGACCATGACCTCCATGTCCTTGGGAACCGAACAGGTATGACATCCGAGTTGAGCTTTTCGATACAATGCATCATTTGATCTGGTTAGCAGGCTGTCCCATGACATTTTTGTCAGGTCGCCCCCGAAATTCGCTAGTACTCATGTTTACACTTGGTCTGAGAAACACAGAGAGAGTAATAAGATGATCTTACCCAAAACACATCGAAATGATCCTGGATAGACCGCTCGATCTGGAGTCAACGCACTAACCACTAGGCCACCGTATACGGTATATCATGCTGCGGGATAGCTTGCGGTGGACTAACATTCCAACCAATGGGAGGAGAGTAGCAATTCTTCTGGTCATAGCGGATAGCGGTTTATGTGACATGAAGCGGCCAAAATTATTGCTAATATTTCCCCCTGTTTGGGATACCAGTCCATCGCAGGGTTAACCGCCTCCTCCCTGCATTCTGTCAGATTGCCACAGCAATTCGCTAGTTCCCATTTAAGTGCACCTTGGTGGACAGAACTGTGACCGCGACTAAGGTTTGAACCCGAACAGCTAGATTATTAGTTCAGCGCTATAATCATTGGAGTCTTCGAGTCCCTCGTTTTCTGTTACGTTTACTGATCTGGTCTTGTTTTTTTAGGAGGCCACCAGGCATCATTCAGTTGGAAGCCAGTCGTCCCGTCAATCATCCGCTCATTTGATTGACACTGGAACAGAAGAGCAAGTTGCTGGAAGGGAACTTAGCCCACGTGACAGTGGATTTGACGGGGCTGCTTCAAGCCTTAAATTTGACTCCAGACCAAGCTCGGGCACAGCTAAATTGGAAACGGACGAGGTCAGAGAGACTACTTCCTGTTATACATCGTTTCAAGCTTTAAATCAACGCTTTAAGAGTCGTCCAGGTTTTGACTTGCTTAATACTTTATTAAACATCCATCTGTGTCCTTCTACGTGCATCTACATCTCACACTTAAATAAACTTATTTATTTTTATTTTTTAAGCACAGTATTCCATTGCCAATTCGTCCCTCAGTCTCGTTCGAGTTGTTAGAGTATCGCTTATTCACAAAACCTTTTATTGCTCTGATGGTGACGAGTGATTCAATGTTCGGTCAAGTTCTTCCGCGTTTATGTATGTATAACTCGAGCAGAGAATTGAGCATAACCCTGGATTTAAACTAAAAAGGGTGACGGATATGACGAAAGATGAAAAACTAAAAAAAGGTGAAATTACATTACTCTGCTATTGACTGTCTAATAATTTGTTTTCTTTGGTTTGAAAGAATGCTCCTCGTGAATCTAAACCAGCAATGCTGTCTCCTCCCGAGGAGAAAAGGCCTATCATGAGTGCGAGGGCTCGCAGACGGCTCATAAACTCTGCTCTGACTGAGCACCCAGTGGCCCAGGAGACCATGCGCACTTACGAAGCAGTCCTGTTGTTTAGTCGTAACATGGTGCAGTGGCTGGATGCTGAAGGGCTTAGTGAGGAAGCTAATCTGGTCAAGAGCGTAAAGCCTGTCATTCTCAACCAGGTGAATGAGTTTTATATCACTTTTTTTTGTATTTTATTAGTTTTCATTGATTTGAGGTTACTTACAATTTTTTTTATAAACACACATAGTTCAGAAACAAACAGACACGGTAACTCATACATTAACATGCACACACACCTCAGTTCCTCTTAACTCTCTTCTACTTTTAGATATAATACTAGTGCAGTGTAGCAACAATACGAGATTCTATGTCAGTCTAATTGTTTTTGTACTTGCCCCGTTTCATATTGTGAGCTTTTAATTTATTATTTGATTTTGCGATCATTGTCTCAAGCTGAAGAATCATTTTAATTTTGAAATTAAGTACTTAAATTGAAGGGAGAGATTTGTTCCATCTACAAGAATATAAATACATATTAATTTTATAGTAACTTGCGAAAGTTATATTTTCCATCATCAATCTTCCCCTCCCCCCTCCGCTGCTCCAAAACCCTTTCGGACAGGCCTGGGTTGTTCAAAAGTTGAATAATGCCATCCACCGGATAAATCCCTATCCAGTGGATAGCGTGGTTTGTTTTGTTAACACTTTCATTGGATAGAGATTTATAAACTCTTGAAATAGCTAATCACGTGGTGGTGTATTATATTCCTAGGAGGACACCATGCAAATAATAGAAAGTATGCCGGAGATCCGTAACAGTATTTCCGAGGTGAGTGAAAAGCTTAATAGTTAGTAGCTCTTTCTTGTTCCGTAGAGTTCTCTTGCTTGGCAAATTAACATTGATAGGAGAATCGTAGGGAAAAATTAATTACAGCTGTGTTGGTGTGCACTTTCTTAATGTAAAGTCACCATTTTGAGCTTTAAGCTGGTGAAATCGAAAACTCTTCAACTCCTTCTATGTGTATTTATTAGTTTATTGAACTTGGTTATCGATTTTTTTTTTGATCAATTTATTATTGTTTTTAAAATCAGATTCTGAATCAGCTGGGCACTGTTCTGTCCAGTCAGCACCTCTCCCAGTCCATTGCTGTTGAAACAAAGAGTGTAGGACTGATTACCGCTGAGGAATCCGTACAGGAGCCAACTATTCGCCCAGAGTGGCGGCCAAAAAGCTTAAAGGTAGATCCTCCTTTGCATGCTGTTGTAGAATAACTGTACTTGATTTTTATTGCATGAGTAAAACGCATGAAAAATATGGTCGCTTCATTGTGGGAAAGGACCACATATTTTAAAGTGTGATATATCGGCTAAATTAACTATTTAGCAGTTGTTAAAACTGTTTTGATGCGTTCTTTCACCATCTCGCGTTTTAAACTGAGTTGATAAACCACATAGATGAGTGGTGAATTAAGGTTTTGCAATTTAAATTATTGCTTCGTTTGTAAACTGCAATTTTGTTCTCCAAGTGTGTTGCCTGAGTTCGTTCTCTTTTCAACTGCTTGCATCTATTGTAGAAGGAGGATTTGCCAGATATATCAGCCATGGAATCCAACTATGTCAAATTGCTGAAGGAATACAACGACCTGGCTGAAGGCTACGAGCGTCTGCAACAACATCTGGACGAGGAAACAAAGTTCCATCAAGAACAAACCAGTCAGAATGTAGCAGTGATGACAGACATGCAGGACACCATAACACAGCTGAGAAATCAACTGGCAGAGCTCAGGAACACACGCTCCGCTTCATCTGGGGTATACATTACTGAAATTTAACTTGCTATCTACATGTATAATAAGACTTTATCGACTGAAAATAACTACAAGCCAACCGTCAGATTAAGGATACCGGACCTTTGGCCAGTTGGGTCCAGTCGTTATTGTAGGCTGTCACTTTCCGCGCGTTTCACCGGTTACATTCTTTCCTGCTCTTCCTACTGGCTACATTTTCTCCCGTGCTTTTCAGCATTGAAATGTTTTTCCGCGCTTTTCACTGGTTTCATGTTTTCCCGCGCTTTCGATCGTTTACTCCTTACAGGTTACATGTTTTCCCGCACTCTCTACTGCTTACTTGTTTTGCAACAGCGGGGCCTGCAAAGGGATATACCCATCACTGCAAGACTGGATCACCCACATATCCTGCAAGACTGGAGAATTCACTTGCCTCAGGCTATTGGACAGGACTTTCTTTTGCACACTGATGTAAATTGGTACAATAACATTGATCACTCAAGAAAACAGTCTTCCTAGTAAATTAGTAAGACCCCATGCGAACATTGTGTACAAGTACAACATTTAATACTGCCAATCTGTTACCCACCATTGATATCAGTCTAAACTTACACGAAAATCAATATAAGCATATATACATGTAGCTTGGTTTCCAATACCTTGTATATCCTGGCCTTGACCATGTAAGCCTCAATCAGTGTTGGTGTGTGTTCTAAAGCTTTGTCTATGTACTCCATCGCTTTCTTGCTGTCACGCAAATAATCAAAATGCTGGGCGAGAAAGTGGTAAACCCAGAGGATTGCCGTCGGAGGTTCAAGATCGCCACCTGAAACACAATTTGAGTCAATATTTTCAAAATGTCCTGACACAATAATTGAAGATTTGGGGAGTGGAGATGGTGCAGTGGTGAGAGAGCTCGCCTCCCACCAATGTGGCCTGGGTTCAATTCCAGCCCGGTGCCATATGTGGGTTAAGTTTGTTGTTGGTTGCTTTTTCCGAGGGTTTTTCTCTAGGTTCTCCGGTTTTCCTCCCTCCAGAAAAACCAACATCTCCAAATTCCAATTTGACCAGGATAGAGGACCTGCATGAAAACCAGGTGAGGCTTAGGTGGCTTCGTCTCTAAATATTGTAATTTATTTAAGCAATGAAACACTGACCTTTCCCTGTCAAAGTTCCAAAGGTATTCAAATTGTCCAGATAACCCAGGGCTATATTTTCAACAATCTTTACCTGGAAGAAAAAAAAAAGAAAAACAAAAGCAAGCATTTTGTTAGTGTTGAAATGATAAACATATAATTTAGCAAGAGGAAACTGAAGGTGATGGTCTGCCAATATTACAAACAGTAAAAGCTAATTTTGATCTTGCCAGTTGTTCTTGAACATGCTGTCAGGTTATCACCTTGTCTTTTTCTGTATATAAATTCCTGATGTTGTTAAACAATGGAGGCACTCCTTTATGAATTGCTGGCCTCATGTAGTTGTCAATTAATCTGGCAAATGTTTCACCTGAAAACGGAAACAATTCAAGTCTACTGTAAGTACTTCAGGAACTCTGAATAACATTATTTTCACTAGTCTGAGTTGGCAAGTCCCAGTCAGAATTTGGTAGCAGTAATATCACCTGTCCCAGCTGTGTATTCAAATGGTTTTTAAGCCAATGGATCTAACTTGTCAATTTTTTTTGTACAATGTAGTTGTTGGGGCACCTACAATTCTGTAGCCAGAATTTATTGAAGGCTGCAAATATATTATTAACAGTAATGTATAATTCGTGAAATTATTTTAATTAATACGGTACTAGATTGCTTTGTTTTGTTTACACGTTACATTTGTATATTGCCAGTTAAAACAATCATTGTAAGTTAATTCACTTTCTTATGCTCTGCACCCAAAGGACCCTTTGTCTGGGCAAGAATTAACCCACATCATGTGTCACCTCTGAAAGGATCAAGTCCTTAAAAAAATCAGAATGAGTGTAACTTTGGGAAAATAACATTAGACTCTAATAGCTATTATACATGCAATACAAGTTTATTAAATGAACAATGAATACAAAGAACAAAGAACAGAATATACCTTTGGTAAATGTCAGAGGCATTCTCTTGGGAGCCTGTGCTCTTGGATATGATTCAGCATATTGCATGTACAGATTATATCTGTCATCAAGATTTTCTGCAGGTAGGAAATATGTTATTACATTGTTCAGAGATGTAAGAGCAAGTACATTCTGTAATCTACCATGACTAAATTTGCAATTATCCAATCAGAAGCCCATCTGTCTGCTCTCCTGATATCCTGTGATGCCAAGTAACTGATCTGATATGGCTACATTACTTGTCATGGTCACTTGGCTGAATCTGGGTATGGTAAATACCCAAGCGCAACGTTTTTACATGTCATGTTTTGGCAGCACGTCAGGCTCTTTTGGTCTCACCAGGTTTATTTTCGCTTGACTACACCTTGCTAATTACAAACCATACTTGCCTGCTGCGGAAGCGTACAAAAAATGTACAACTAAGTATAAGTAAAGAGAGATCATCAAAAGATTTTATCAGTGCTCACCAAGTTGCAAAGATTTTTCCAATTCTTGGTAATAAGATCTATTTTCTGGATTTCTTCTGAGTAACTCTCTGAAAACTTTCTCTGCTTCTTTGAAGTGGTTCATCTCAAGAAATAATGACCCTGGAGGAAAATAAATATCAAGTTATCAACACTTCTGGACTCACAAGGGTGATTAGCAAACTAAATTTTTCAAAGATAGTCAAAGTTCTAGTTTCCCAGTATTTGAATTATGGCAAAAGGGTAAAATAAAGTCTGCAGACGAATGCCTGGTCAGGGCGGAGCTTGTCCCAGTTTCAGCAACATGAAGCGACTGACAATACTGCAACTTCACCCTGGATGGGATGCTAATCCATTGCACCTGGGTGGAGAAAGGCACTGCTAGAGTAAAGTGTCTTACCCAAGAACACAACACAATGTTTCTGGCCAGGGCTCAAACCCAGACTGCTCGATCGAGTGGAGCACACTAACCATGAGGCCACTGTACCTCCACACCTTGATTTATGGATAACCTTAACCAAACAAAAATGTTCAACATACCTTTGATTTCCCGCACTACAAGTTTATCATGCATCAGTGGTTCATATTCCATCAAGTGATCCAGAGCCTTGTCAGGTCTTCCAGCTTCTCTGAGCACCATGTTTTGATACAAGAGAAGCTCACCATGTTCAATGTCAAACTTTGGAGAAGAAATCTGAATTAAACACACAATATTCCAACCATTAAAACTCCTTACTTAGACAGGGGTCATAAATTACCGAGTGAACACATAACTTGGACTGACTGAAAATATTTTCGTCTTTTTAATATGATCAGGTCATAATTCTCATTACCATCAGGAAGGTATTTTAGGTAATTCCAAACTTTAGTTTTTGTCTTGAAGTATATGTACCATCAGTTTTTTAGAATTACCATATTGTACACCTGATGACTAAAACACTTGAATGACAGTCCTAAGTCTGTGTTCAAGCCAAAGTGGCCTGTTAGGTCGGTGGTTATGTCCAGTTTCCATACCATGAAGCAGCTACATGTAGGAGTACTTTACCCCCCTCCCTCCTGGAAGGGATTGTACACTCTGTTGCAGGGTAACCCCCCCCCCTGGCATTAAATTTGCAGGTATACATATGTATATTGCATGGAGTCAAGATTGCAAAACACTTCATAAAGTCACATAATGTAATTTTATATTATATTTTTTGACAAGAGTGTTTCAACCTCAAAAAGTCAGTCCTTCCTGAACTCTTATAAATTTCTGAGCACAGTAGAAAAATGATTTTCATATTCACATCTTTACTTGAATAATCTATAATGCTAAATGCACATGCATGCTGTACATTTCAACTACCATAATACCCAGAGAAAGCTCCTTACATTCTGAGTTTTCCGAAACTCTTCTAGGATTGTGAATGCCATTTCATGATCTTTGAGGAGATGATAAGAGATAGCGTAACCGATCCAGGACGCTCTCTGACCAGGCCTTAACTTTAACAACTGGTACCTGGTTTCCTGGAGTAAAAAAAATTCATTTAAAAGGGACAATTGACATCAAAGGATTTTAGATCCATACATTTTATGACCTTTTAAGTGTACATTTTGCATAAGGATAACTATTAGAACTAATGTACATGTATGTGTTAGAGGAATCTGATGATATAATTTTGTATGATTTCTTCCTCATGTAAAACAATATCAGCCTTTGGGCAAGTGCTTCTTACAGGTCATTTTAAAATACTAGCTATTAATATGGAAAAAGAATTAATACTTTTATGGTCATACCCTGTAGCCTTCTAGGTCACGCATCTGAATTTGTAAAAGTGACAAATCTCGCAAGATTTGGATATTTTCCTGCAGAGAAAGAAATGAAAACAACACCTTTCTAAGCCAGGTTGAACATAAAGCATCACTTTCTATCAGTATGACTATTCATAAATAATACCAAAAAAAAAAAAAAAAATCGCCATCTAACCTTATCCCATTTTAGAGCATTCCTATAACACTTGATAGCCTCATCGTATTTTTTATCTGATCTCTGTAGCAATCCATAAACATGCCAACCTGGCTGGTGGTCAAGGAAATAATACAACACAAACAGAAACTGGTTACACAGATCTACATCCCCTTCGAAAATGCTGTACTAGTTTTTTAGTCTGTGAATAAAAACCTGGATAAAATCCTGCTGTGTGAAGGCGACTAATGTGACGACTTTTTTAACATTAAATACAATTTTAGGCTTTGTATCATATTTGGTACTTCTCCAATTTTAGGGTTATGAAACACAGTGACTTATTATGTTACAGTAAATGTTTGACATTGCCAAAATCTGAGGACATCAACAACACACCCATCCCCCAACCCCTAAAAATACTATTTATTTATGAGAAAATGAAGGAAAAAAGTAAAAGTAATTTCTGGCAGCCTCAAGGAGTACAGAAGAGTTAAAACGGATGCTAAATTTGGTACATTTTGCTGAGCATTCTCGCACGTGATAATTAGCTCACAGCTCCAGTCACACATTACGAACAGTTTAACAACAAACCACGGAAGCAAATAGGCGATCACGTAAATTCCATTACCACGTAGTTTTTGTTGTTGTTGTTGCCCATTATATGTACAGTACATGTAACCTGTAGAAATTGACATTTATATCCTGACATATCAAGGATACAGACATGACTTTTGAGATCATTCCGAAGTCCTCGACGAACAAATTCGTAGGCTTCTTCCTTCCTTCCAAGACAGTTGAGAGTGAGTCCTTTCATAGCCAAAGTTTCTATATCGCCAAGAGAGGGAAACGTTAAACACTGACACATCAAATGTTTTCAAACGAAACTAACATCTGATGGTAGAAAAATCGACAAGTTGCTAGTTTAATCCGCATTTGTGATGAAGAGATACAGGTGAACAAATTCATTGAGTCCACCAAACGTAAACAATTATACTCACCTCCATGCTCCGAAAACTTTGGATTTGAAAGGATCTGCTTGGCAAATTTCAGCCCATTCTTGTACTGCTTGTGTTCGTAGCATTTCTGCAAAAGAAGATCAGAAAGGAAGTGAAAACGCACCCTGAAATCGACAAGGCGTGCTCAGAACTCGCATCCGCGTGGTACGGCTCCACTCGCAACCTCAGCGAGGCCTTACCAGTATTCTTTTGAACAAAGCATTCTCTTTGGGTGGTAGAGTAGTCGGCATGCTGGTGAACTACTCAAGGACAGGCCTCTACCACCGAAAGGTTAGACTTGCCCGCCGGCCTCGTGGAACGAACGAAAATGGCGACTGCATATGCGACTACTGATCGGCTACCCACAGTGCTCTGGGACACTGGTGAACCCGATTGAGCAACCAAGCCTTGACAATTTTTTTACATTTGAAAAATTTTGTACAGTGAGACGAATTTTTATATTTTTTCATTTATCTCGTACCAAATGCGTTTCCATGCTGTAACTTTCTGTCGTGTGAACGTTTTCCCTGGCTGGAGTTTTGTAACGTTTTTGGGAGATTTTTACAAATAACCTTTGCCCTCGACCCAGTTTTCCACTGTCAAAAGCCACGTTCAAATTCAAGATGGCGGATGATGAGAGCCTGATTCTCAAAGAAATGGCGGTAAGTTGTGTCTACTAACTTTGGTTGTTGTTAAAGATTGTCAAAAATTGCTGCATTAAACGTCATTTGGCATACAGATGTGGTATGCTATGCACTTAAATGACTATTAACTTTGCACGGGCTAGTGATATGCCTGTTTGATTCATTTCCGTTATACGTTCAAATTCTTCAAAATATGAAGCAACCTTGTTGTTCTACTGTGCCATGCACGGTTATTTTAACGGTAATGTGAAGGATGGTTCATAATTTCCATCACGGTATTGTGTTTTATGATGGAAGCAATAAAATGGAAGTTAAATCTGGGGTTGATGAGGTCACAATTATACGGATCACTTTGTACATTTCAGGTTGACTCTAACATGTCCATTCCAGACACAAGACCACTCAGTAAAGAAGAGCTGTGGAGGTATTCTTAACGATGTGATTAGTCCACAATCTGCAACTTTCATCCTTTTATTTATTTAAGCATATCTGTGCTAGCGTGTGGAAGCTACTGTAGATGCTTGTAACGAGAATTTAGAGCAATTGATTATTTCTACAAAAAGGAGGTGGCCTCATGGTTAGTGCGCTCATCTCCGGATCGAGCGGTCCGAGTTCGAGCCATGGCCGGGGACATTGTGTTGTGTTCTTGGGCAAGACACTTTACTNTACAGAAACCGGGATAAGCTCCGGCCTGATGGGCCACTTGGCTCGTATGCAGACTTTACCTTACCTTACAAAAAAAATAATAATAATAAATAATAATAATAACTGTTGTGTATTGATGTCTGGCAGTTGAACAGCGTTTTTAAAATGCTCTGTGTTGGTAGTCGGAAAATTTTCCTTTTACATGGTGTTACCATTACAAATACATTGCTGAGAACTAACTGTAAACAGGCTAACCAGTGCACTATGCAGGCTAATCTTTTTTTTTTTTTGTATGTTTTTGTATGTTTTTTGTAGGATAGAACATGAGAAGCTACACGCCAAACACAAAGGACATGAAGCCATGCACATGGAGATGATCCTTATTTTGTTTTCTACTCTAATAGTAGCACAGGTTCTTCTGGTAAAGTGGAAAAAGCACTACTACAAATCATTCCAGGTGAAAAAAAAGACAACAACAACAACAGCAAAACTATCACAGAATCGTGCCCATTGAAAAACGTCGCACGGGAAAATGCAAATAAGCTAGCAAAGAGAAAGAGAGCATGTGTTACTTCATGCAGGCCTGTCAACTCGACTGTCAATCATGTAATCCCCCGTGTACGCCGTGTTCACGAGTATTGTTTCCTACTCAGACAACCAAAACGTAGCACTATTCATCGAAGAAGAATAGCCGTAATTAGTCAGGTTATCTTGATTAGGCTATATTGTTTAAAAATCAGTCAGTGTCAAACTGTCAAGCTGTCAAACCATGAACACTGTGATTGGTTATAACACAATGTCATTCCAGACATGTTTTAGGTGTTCACGATTTAATGCGTTTGAGAGTAAAACTCACTTTAAATCAGTTGCTGCAATGTATGATTTTAAACTGAGATGAAACAAAACTTTGTATGCTAATCAATCTTTAGAGCATGTTAAAACCACGGTCATTTCAGTCCAGTGGTTTATCTTAACTACTTACTAGTTCAATCTATTCTGTTTTTTCAAGGCTGTGACTCTGGTTGGCATGTGGTTAATTCCTCTCTATTTCAATATCAAGCTCAAGTTCTGGCGCATGCTGACTGCCTGGGTGATGTTTTCTATTTTAACTGGCTTCATTGTTTTTAAGTCTACGCGGAAGCCTGTTGCACCCAGTACTCCTAGGTAATGGTATTTTGATCTTGTTACTAATTTAAATGTTATAGTTGACTGTGTAATGCTGGTTAGAATGCCGGACCCTGGATCAATTAATCCAGGTTCATATAGGTTTGCCCACTTGGGACATTGTGTTTCTTCTCAGGAGACAGTCCCAAAGGGCCTCTGTCCACCAAAAGGAGAAAAGAATGCATCATGGTGGACAACATGATAAAAAAAAGTGTTGGTGGTCAACCTGCTCTTCTTGCTTTATGTTACTTGTGTGGAAATCAGAATAAGTTACATTTGCTTCATTGTTTGTTTCCATTGGCCCTGAAAAACCCACACTGGGAGAGTGGTCAATTAAGTTTTATTTTTTATGTTACAGAAAAGCCACATGTTTCTCAAGAAATTTGACCTCTATCTAATAAATCCGTCATTGTCAGTCATTGGTAACATGTTCTTTGTTTAGTTCATTTTCAAGCTAATGATGCGCTTGTACCCTTGTTTTCATTGCAGACTAGTTTACAAGTGGTTTTTGTTTGTGCACAAGGCAACATATGGCTTGGGAATATTAGGATACATGGTTGTTTGTCTGACCATGCTTGGTGTAAATCTGATGTTTGCTATCGCACCAGATACTGCCATGGAGTTTGGAGTGACAGTGCTGTTTTATGGACTTTATTTTGGTGTACTTGGCAGAGATTTTGCCGAAATATGTGCAGATAAAATTGCATCAAAACTAGGTGTAAGTTTCAGGCCATTCTTTTACCTCAAAGCTTATTGTAATTTCTGATTAATAAAAGTGTTGTGAAACACTTAGTAGCACTATTTGCTGCCTAACAGTTAAATAGAAATGCAACGATTCAATGATTGAAAACTTCCAAATTGATATGATTTTTACCCCAACACCCCTCAAACTGTGGTTGACGTTAGTTAATAAAAGTTACAATGGCCAATTCCTCTATGAGAGGCACCTGCAGAGAATCATGGTAGCTGTTTTCATCATGATCTTGGATTGGATATTTGTTTTGATGAATGCAACTACTGTACCATGATTCCCTCCAGGCACGTCTCAGAGGAAATTGGCCATTGTAAAATTCTTAGACTTCTTTGTGTCTCCTTTGTAAAATCCTGAGAGTTCATTGTGTCTGTTATGACGTTGACCCAAGTGGTGGGATTACATTTCAGCACCTTATGTGTATTGTGCACTGTAGTTAGTCACTGCTGCCTCATTTTAGTCTGGGTATTACTTTACAATCATCTGTGCAAGGAAAATGTTTGGTCGACATAAAATGATGTTTAAGTTCTGTGACTGCAAGTTACTTTCATGTGGTGTTTAATTAAATTATTTTTTTTGTCTGTGACTTTGTTTAGTATACAAGCAAAGGAGGCCTTCCAAGTAGGAGCCTGGAAACCAATATTTGTGCTGTATGCGGCCAACACCTTGTGTTGTCAAATAATGATGATGACGATGATGATAATGGGCCTGAGAAAACTTATAAACTCTCCTGTGGCCATTTGTATCCTTACTTTTGTTTATCCATTGCTTTAAGAACAAGATGTGTTTTTTGTAAATTTTGTTTTAATTTTAATTTTAATTTATCTCCATCATACCAAAATAATTAATCTATGTAACTTCCCGATTGAATTTGTTCAGTTTGATCTTAACCATTGTCCTCTTGAATTTATGATTTTTCTTGACAAAACTCAATGCAGATTCCACGAGTTCTGCATTCGTGGTTGGTGTATAGTGGGAAAGAAGCAAACTTGTCCATACTGCAAAGAGAAGGTGGATCTCAAGAGGATGTTCTGCAATCCGTATCCTTTTATTATACACTATTTTTTTTTTTTTCGAATCAACAAATTTTTAGAAACGGATTTCACTAAAAAAGTTAATGTTAAAAAGCGACGACGTTTCGACCGCTTGACGGTTATTTTCAAGTTGAAAAGTAAAAGTTTTGCATGCACCCAAATATATACAATTGATTATAAGAATGCTAATGAGACACTGACTAAAACTCTAAAATATTTACATAGAAACAATACAAGAAAATTGTGGCATGAGTAATAAAAACGTTAAGGCGACAGAAACGATTTAAAATAAAATAATTAAAAGAAGTAAGTAAATAGCTTCGCGTGGATTGAGTCACTTTTTTTTTTGAAAAACAAGTGCATTTTTTTACCCAGCCACGTCTTCAGTCTAGCCATTTAGCATGTGCTGCTGCACAAGTCACATCAGACGTGGGTGGAGTACCATCTTGTTTTAAATCTTCAGGCGCACTGTTTGAGATAGTCAGTTAGAGACGGAATAAGAGTAGGTGAAGGTGGGCACTGTGTGCTAAATACACTCTACGAGCTGAAGGATCAGTCAGTTGCAGCTTGCTCTTCCCTTTTTTCACTTGGTGTTAATGAGCTAACTCCCTGTACACAAAGTTTCCAGCAAAGTTTTAGGTAGATTTGTTGTACTTTTTGACCATCTCCTGCCTTTCAACAAAATGGCAAAGAATGTGACTTGTTTTGGACAATTTACAGTTCGTGGTTCAGTAAAAAATGAATCCTCTTCATGATCAGAAAAAAGAAGACTTTTTTTGTCATCCATTAGGCCCACGTCAAATGTCAAACTTCACATGAGATGAACTAAATTGTAATTTAAGTCGATCTTAATGGGTAAAACTAGATCGACCAGTGAACTTCAGACGGAGAGAACGTGTTGGTCAATCTAATTTCAGTCGGACGAACTCAGTTGAGTCAAACATCTAACTTATCATCAACTTAATTCACTCAGTTTAGTTCGTCTCCCATGAATTTCGACGTTTGACCTGGGCCTTAGGTTCAGCACAATAGGATGGTCACAAAATTATTTATTTACAAGTCTGGCACTACAACTGATTAAAAAAACATGCCATGTTCCACAGAATTTGCCAATTCTTGAGACAGAATTGCATCTGAAACATGATGACCAGTACATGTACCTGCTTCTGGACTAGGCAACAAATGTTGAAATCTAGAATTGTTCCATGGATGTTTTCCTTGACTAGACCCCAGGTGGGAGCGCCCTCACGTCCTGTTTGGTCAGCTGTTGGACTGGATCCGATACCTAGTTGTATGGCAGCCCATTATTATAGTGGTAGTTCAGATAATAATATATGTTTTAGGACTGGAGTAGTTATAGTAAATCCCTTATTTAATGAATATATATGAAATGCTTCAGAAAAGAAATTAGGATAAATGTACAGTTAGCGGCGGTCATATTTACTCAGATGCCACTTGTACTAAGAGATCACATGACCCATTGGATTATCACCCAGGACAGACTGGACAGAATAGTTCCAGACATGTAAGAAATATCAAATTAAAATTACTTCAATTGTCAGATTTTAATTTAGGTCAGTATCGTACCTTGACTTATGCATGAAATTTTCTGCTGACTTGAGTTTTCAAAATATTAGTCAAGAAAGAATTTTACAGCAAATACAGCTGGAAGGCAAAGTTTAATACTACAACATGATGGATCATTAATTAGTACAAGCCATACCGAGGCATCCCTCTCTATAGTCTGAATTTCAGCGTCTGTTCTTGTCTCGTCTCTTCTCCCTTACCCACGGGTGGGTAAGGGAGAAGAGACGGCTGAAATTCTGACTACCCTCTGTATTTTTAGCTTGGGACTTGAAGTGAATGCAAGTTTATTTTGGGTGGAATTTTGTTTTAAAAATAAAGTCAATGAAAAAATTTTTAAAACCGACCCCAGTTATCCAAACCAAAGCTTGATAATTTATTTATCACTTATAACAAAATTACAGTGCAAATATTCAACTACTACTTCAGTACCACCATTGATAGTGCTTCTTTCTGTTTTAATTAATAATTATGAATTCAGGATCATTGATAGGAAAACAAAAGGAGGAAACTGTTAGTGAAATATTATTTTAAACACATTGTTTTCTTTTCAATTTTCAAAAATGGCGGCCGCCAAGTAAAGTGGGAATATCTGAGTTGTCACGGAACACTCTTTTCCACTCACACCTGCTATGGTGAGGAGCATTGCGTGACCAACCAAGAAAGGCTGTAAAAAAGATTATGTTGCCAAGTGAATGGTGGAAAATGCAATGAAAGTTTTAGATGTTTTACTAACTCGTTTTACGAACTCTTTCTAAAAATAAATAGTATCTAAAACTCCGTAAAAGCAAACGAATTTCCTGTTGCAACCAACTGTCGAAAACTTTCCAAGGCATCTCAAGCCGGCTTTTGAATCCTTCGGAATCCCGTTTAGGCGTGATTGCCAGCCGCTGTTCGGGAAAGGAGCCCGCGCTCCTCGCCTGAGGTCTCTTCTTGGAGAGGAAGGTAGAACGGACTGGAGAAAGCGGCGGAAATCGAGCCTAAAGCCAGTTGTGCCAGTCAGCAATCATTACCCATACTTTCTATAATTAGAAATCTTCTTTTTGTAATAGAATTTCTTTAATGGTGCAGGTTTCCGGTAAAACGAAATTGAACCATTATCACTGTGTTATGTTGTTATTGTTGATTGTTGTTGTTGATGATGTTTTGCTGTAGTTTACCGTTTCGCGGGTTGTAGGGTTCGAATTGGGATCCTCGTATATCCGGGAAAGAAATTTGATATTACAGAAACAGCGCAGTTATTATAATTTGGCTTCGAACAACTGAAGTATTAGTCGTCACGCCCTTAGAGTAATAACAATTCGTTGGAATAATCGCAATATGCAGTAATATTTACTTGTTACAAAGGGGTTGACCGGAAAATGGAAGATTGAATTTTCGGCAGAGATAGGGCATGCCCCTAGGGGGGCATACTGTGAGCGTGGCGTTTTTAAAGCAAATTGCCTGTAATAGGTGAGGTGCAAGAAAGATTTCCACGAGGGAGGAGTGATAATCGATTGATTTTTGGATAATTGTTTGATTCCTTCTAATTTCATCGCTCGGGAGAATGTTTTAAAATGAGCTGCTTCACTCGGCCATCTTGCTTGTCGTTCCAATTAACAGCCGTAGAAAGTCTTTCAGAACTAATCGTTCTCAGATTTTAGGATCTGTTAGCAATAAAACTACGTCCCGCTTCGAATTTCAATTTCCCATTTTTAGCACGTAAATAAGATCCGGTGGATATTAGACTGTACCCAATAAATGAAATTAAAAGTTCAACAATTAGACAAGCGCAGGAACCAGCTTTTACTAATCAAATCGCTGCTTTTTCATTGGTAAACTTTGAAAATTAAAATCGAAGAATGGTAATTTCAGTTTGAAAATTTTTACATCTTTCAGTTGCCCTTTCAACTAATAGCTTCAAGTTGACAAACATTTGTGCTGCTTGTTTTGGACAGTCAATTTTAATAACCTTCGTGAAAACGAAAAGAAACGCTTCGATTCCGTGACTGCGATTCCAATCAATCTTTTTAATGGAAGAATCAAATTTGACTTCGGATTCAAGGACACCAACTCCTTTCAAAGAATCAGGATCAAGTATTTCAGAATGCGACGACTCGCTGGACCTTGTATTTCTGCTGCTAAATGGAATGATATCCGTTTTCATATTACTGGGCAATGGGTTAGCCTGTTTTATCTTCCTGAAAAACAAATATTTCAGGCGTTGTTTTATGAACACGTTCCTTGTTAGCCTGGGGCTTGCCGACATTTTCATGGCTTTGTTAATAATGCCAGGTCACGTGATCTTTTGCACAAGTTCCTGCAGCCATTCCGTAAGTGAACACTGTTGGTTAATTAGTTCAACAAAATATCTTGTGTTTCCGGCGACAAAACTCAATCTGCTCGCCATTTCATATGACAGGTACATCGCGGTGATGCAACCTCTGCAGTACAAAGCGAAAATTAGCTTCAAAAGAGTCTTAATAATTATCACAACTGTGTGGACAATTCCCGTGATTTTAACTCTGAGCCGTTTAGCATGGTGGATCAAACTGCCGAGAGCTGAAGCCTTGATCACGGATCGCGTTTTCAACTCTTGCCTTATTTTCCTTTTGGTGGTTCTGCCAGTTTCTATTTTAACAGTTGTTAACTTGAGAATTATCTTGGAGATTAGGAAGCATCGCAGTCGGCCTCGTCCTGCTAACGAAGAGAGCGTGACTGAAACTCAATTAAATTGTACCATTGAAAACGATGATCAGCGAATACGCCAGGCCGCCAGAAAGGGCACCATTGCTTGTGTTTTAGTTGTCCTGATTTTCGTGTTATGTTGGTTACCAAGGGCTTACTATAATGTCGCCAGGCTCTTGGGTAAAGGAGAAGGCCCACTGTTAAACAAGCTGAGCTTGTTTTTCTTGTTTGTTCAATCGGCAGTAAACCCGTTTGTGTATACTTTTTACAGAGTTGATTTCAGAAGGGCTGCCGTAAGACTTGTAAAGTGTGGTTAGCCCAGATTCTATAGTCTGGTTCAGGATGTAAAAAAGTAAACAAAACAAAACGGCCAGAATAATAAGAAACAGAACCTAAAAAAGTTTATGACCTTTACTGAAGAGGGGCTTTTCGTACAGAACTTTACATAACTTTAGTTAAGTGTCGAGGACTGTTTCATAGCAGTAATAACACCACTTAACGTCAACACTATCTATAGCAAAAGATAACTAATTCTTCAAAAAAATTTTATTATTATTATTATTATTGTTATAGAAAACAATAGTCACATTACTTTCAGAACAATACTTACTCTACTTACAATACGACAGAATACTTAGTCTACTTACAATGCAATACAATATTTTACT